CACACACACACACACACACATATATATATTAAATGAACACTAATATTAATATTGCAGTAGAATCTCGATAAATTAATAACCTCGCTTAGTAATAATTTCTTGTGGTCCCAACTTGGTAAAATTGTACTAAATTAAAATAGAATTTTGTTAGTGATGGACTGTATTAATTTAAAGAGGTTTAACAGTACCTGTTGCCTAAAAGAGCATGAAGTCGCATGATATCTTTTTCCTCCTGAGAGGTGAACTTGCCACGCTTAATATCGGGTCTCAGGTAATTAGTCCATCTCAGCCTGCAACTTTTGCCACACCTTTGAAGCCCTAATATTTTTTTAGAGAGAGAAAGTTACTAATTAAAATTAGGGTTTGGTTAGCACCAAAATCATGCTGTAAGAAGAAAAAAAATACCTGCTTTTGCAGGTAGGGCTCGCCAGCTGCCATGGCCATGTTCTTCAACGTAAGCAAGAAGCTTCTGGTCTTCTTCTAGAGTCCATGGCCCTTTCTTCAACTCAACTTTTTCATATCCTCCATTAATTGTTCTTCCCATTTTTAGGGTTTGATAAAACACACGCAAACACACACAGAAAGAAGATAAGTTATAAGAGAGTATTTAGTAATATATATCGCTTTGTCGGATTTATATAATGTTTTGGGCATGCATATATATATATATATATATATATATATATATATATATATATATATATATATATATATATATATATATATATCTATAATGTATGTATGTATGCATGCATGTATGTATGTATGAAGAATTAAATATGGTGGTTTAATTTATGATAAGAGTAATAGTAGCGCTATGTGGGAACTGGGACATATAACAGAGACAACATACGGATAGGGGGTCATGGCCCCCCGTCCTTATTATAAATCTATATAAAGATACAGAAAAAAATCGTGTATTATTCCGTCATAATTTTTTTAATGCATTCGTCCATGCGAAAATATTGAAAAAAATAAAAATAAAAAAATATATATATTGCTGTTATATTATTTTAGTAGTAGTTATATATAGATTACATGCAAGTAATTTACTGAAAATGGTACTAATTGTGTAGAGAAAAATTAAAGCGAAGGTTTGAGCTGCCTCTCATAATGCTGTCGGGGGAATTAATTATTAAACTGTTCTTTATGACGTCACTATTACAGCACCTTTGTATAGTATATATATACACATATGAAGTTTATAATGATGGTCTCGCAATTAATAATTATAGGGACTTGTCATTTTTTGCTATTAAGAATGAGAGCCACATTAGATTTCGTATTGGACTTTTGGGCAACGTTTTATGTATTTTTGTGGGACCACATATAAATATATATATATATAATATTATTTATTTATTTTTGAAACAGGTAATAATACATAATGACACTGTAAGAAAAATGATACTCTCTGCAGTAAAATAAAAACTGAAAGGGCAAAATTTGGTGCTTGGGAGTTATAAATTTATAGTAATTAATAGGATGCAACTACTCTACACAGTTTTCTGATACATTATTTGAGAATATAAATTCATTTTCATCATTACATTTAATTTACACCCCCACCCCCAGCCCCCTTTCTCTAAATGCCCCATGCATTCAGCTTTTTTAACGGTTTTATACCCAAATTATGGCCTGTTTAACTTTTAAAATCTTTATTTTTACATATACATATATAGATATATCATACAACAATTATTTCTTTTTTTGACTAACAACTGAATTTACAACCAATCATATATATATGACTACTTTCACTTAATTAGTTTTATCTAATTTTCCTATATCTTATATATACAATAAAGAAACGTTGGGCACCCCTAAGGAAACCTAAATGGTATTACTGTAATTATTTATTTTAAATATTTTTTCCGTAGTTTTCTACCTGTATTTTTCAACAAATCAAAATTGACACTGAACCGTGAAGAATCCTTTCGACTTCAATCTTTCATGAATATATCTCAAAATTAAAGTCAAATCTTAAGAGATAAAGAAAGAAATTCGATTTGTTAAATCTTAACCTATTTGCTTGGATTATAAATCTTACTAACGTAAAAAAAACTAATGTTATATAAAATATGAATAGTACCATTTTCTTAAATTTTACTATATTAGTGTATTATATTTTTTTATGTATTAAATTGATCATTTTTTATCACTTTTAAAATACGGGGGGAAATGCTAGTATATATATAAAATAAATATTTAGTCTCAACAGCATAAGTAATAATTAATGATAATTTATTTTTATTTAATTTAATTATATTTGCATGGTTGGTAAAGACAATAATAGATTACCCCATCGGCAAAAATTGGCATTAATAAAGTTTAGCAGAAGAGGACTGGTCCTATCCGCCAATTCAAATTTAATTTGCTTCTGCAAATTTTATTGCTCCCCTCTTTTGCATCAACAGTACGTTGTTGTTTCGTTACAATTATTGGTGCCCTTTTTTTTTATTTTTAGTATTTATATTATATTATATATGTAATATATATTAATTAGAAGTTTCTTTGTTGAAGAAATTAAAATTGTGGGGAAGTTCAAGTACTCACTATATATATAATACAATAGTTGTGTCATTATTAATATTAATTATTAGTATTAATTCTTCCCGTACAATGCATGGGATAGTATTTCAAAATTGAAAAAATTAATTATTTAAATACATGATAATAACAATTGCAATAGGAAAAAATATGCTCACGGTGTAATAAGTTCAAAGAGTTGGCTCGTGAGTTATATTTATTTATTATTAATTAAAACACTAAGTGCAAACATGAGCAATGATAATATAAAAAAAAAAAGTAGAAATAAAATTTCTCTAACTTTAGGAAAAATTATATCGATATAGGATACCTGCATTTGCCGTTCTGGTCATGGATCACGGATTTTACGTCGGTGAATACTATTAATAAGAAAAATTAATTATAAAAAAAATAATTTGTCTCTTGATAGTGGATTAGGAATCCATAACCATCTTATATCCATCCGATTTGCTGGGAAAAGTATAGAGTCAAAGATTTTATTCGTATTTGTTGTGGTTGCCCTAGCGTTTATTACTTTTATATATAATATAAGATTTATATAACATATATAATAAAGTTATTTAATTTATACTATTAATTTATAAGTACTATAGAATGTGTGCATGTGAGTTAGTAGGTTATATTTGGATGATGTAATGAAAAGGTAAGATTTTGTCATATGATGTATTGTATGATAAAAGCTAGTATTATTTCCTACCTTCCCTTCTGCCATTGCAATAACTTCTCTTACATCACCATCCATAAATTAATTATGCCAAGCTGCATAAATTAATTGTGTGACGCAAATAATAAGCTTAAACTACCAAAATTAAATATCGACCAATTAATTTTTCCATATTCTTTTAATTTTATATATATTTATCGCCCACCATAATAACTCTTGGATAGTCGTTCCATCAAGTGTATGTTTTATTTGTGTATATTTATTTATAAGTTTGGATTATTTGTTGAATTATTATTTTAGTTAATGTTTATAAAAAAATAATAAATTATCTTGTTTGTATACAAATTTCGCAATTTGAAAATAATCTTTTATATATATATATTGATATGCATAATTGGCCCAACCCAATGGGTCTACAAATTATTTACCTACTGGGCCACGAGCCCAATATCGAAGACCACTATCACCGAGGCCCAATTACCTTCAAGTAAGGTTTGGGTCCGACAATCTCGACTAAGCTATAAATAAAGGTTTGAACTCATTCCTTAAGGTACGTCCTATTAACTGAGCAATACTACAATACGTATTCTCTGGACTATTTCTATGATCAGTGACGTGTAGTGCAGGGACCGAGGGGTTTCCGCCGGATCAACCCCCGGCGTAGTTCACGTGTGTTCATTTCGCAGGTACCTCAGGATCATCAAGTTGTCAAGCTACTGATCTGCTTTGCTCTCCCAGTTCATTTTCTACACTACCCAGGTGATCTAATTTAGCATCATCATATATATATATATATATATCCGTATGGGGGTGTCTAGTTGAAGGAGCAAGAAGCGTTGTGTTTTAATTTCATTGCACCTACATAGTTGGATTCAGGTTACTCCATTCTTCGAACAAAAAAGAAAAAGAAAAAAAGCCGCACTGCTCACTTGAAACTTGAAAGCAGTAAATTAGATAAACTGAGGACCAATTATATATTCGTGTTATACAGAAAAGTAAAGGAAATTATCTTCAAAATAATAATAATAGATCGTACTTAAATTATCAATGGCAAGAACTATGTCATATTTTTTTCCTCTCTCTATCTAATTTATCACCCCTCTGTCTCGAATTACAATGCATTTTTTCTTTCACTCTTTGTCTAACCGAATACAACTGGTTATTTGTCTTTATATATCTCCAAGAAGTCAGCTTCTTCTCCAACTCTTTGGTTATATACCTTAATCTCCCTCGGCCAATCAGTGAGTTGCACCCAACTTAATTGGTTGTTACTTTGTTATCATCATGTGCTCAATCCTACGGCGCTCATCCAATTAAGTTGCTTACGTGGCACTCCTTAGATTCCTTCGTAAATATATTTTAAAAAAATATGAAATTCGAGATGTATTTATCTATTTAATTAAAGTTTGGATGAAAGAATTCGACGTTCCAATTCTTTAGGATTTGGGCTCATGCCTGGGCCTGTATTTGGATTTTGCTCAATCGTTGACCTGGAATTTATATTTTTAATTTTATTTTTTTTATTACGTTAAAGCCCTTAAAGGCCCACTAAAGAGAAGATAGATACACATATATAATATAGGGTAAATTACAAACACCCCCCTGAGGTATGCTCAAATTACAAAAACCACCCTCTTGTTTGGATAATTACATCTACCCCCTCAACTATGATTTTTTCTTAGACCTCCACCTTTATGGTGCCAAATTCAACATAGTCATCTAGATTCCGTGAAATGTTCTCTAGTTTGTACTATTGTTTGTGTAAAAAATACAGCTTCCGGTGCACTACAAACTGATATATACAAGCTAAAAATCACACATTATGATCATCTTGCTTCATAATGTAGAGTTTGAATGGGATAAAACGGGTACAAAAGTGATAATATATATTCCATATAATCTCGAAGATTCCACTAAATTTGATGAGTTGAGGGGTGGTTGCAATCATCCAAACAAGAGGGGTGTTTTTGTAATTTGACCATACCTCTGGGGGTGTTTGTAATTTACCCCATATATAATATATCTAGAGCCCCAATCTATACTTTTTTAGTTTTTTTATTATTTTTCTTCAGAGAGAGCACAATTCAACCACGACACGTGTTGATAAGATAATAGTATTCCTAAATCCTAGTCCTTCCAATAAATCAACACGTGGCAGTAATTAATAAGGACTTAATTAACTAATGATTAATTAATTAACAAATGATATACCCTCCAGTCTCCAATAAGAGCCCACACATGTGAAGTGGCTGGATAAGAGCCACAATTAAAGTACACCTCACCGCATAATTTTTCCAATGCTTATCTATTACCTAACCCTTTTTCGTTATTAAGGTACATCTGTCTGCTTTTTAATTGGTTCTTTTGTAGCTGGATTAACCAAAAATACTTTATTATTTTTAATAATAAAAAATATTACAGTACTTAATTTCGTCCGCAAGAACGATTTAATTGGTGCAGTAAGAGGAGCGTGAGATACAACGACCTGATTTCAATCACTGCAAACATTTTTTATTTATATTAGGAAGGAGACTAATAACAAATTAAATTAGAAACTTCATCACAAAAATATTATTTATAATTTAATAGGGTATATATTAAATAAATAAAAAATCAAAAGTTCGTAAACTTTTTATAGGAGTGATTAATTCCAATAATTGTTGACCAAAAGTCATATCATCTGCTTTTTGGTGATGTGTCTATTTCATTTGGAATGAAATATGTGTGGCTAAATATGAAATGGAATCAATTATTGAACATTTTCCCCTTACTTTTCTCGAAAGAAACAATAAAAAGTAAGCCGTTAAAAACGCTATTTGAAGAACACGCGTTTTTTACCTACCATGTTACATTTATACAATAATAATAAATAATGTTTTTTCTTATTGAGTTATATCATATGAATTTTGAGGCGAACAAGAAAGTTCGACGAAATTAAGGATATGTAATAGCATAAAATATAACACAGCCAAATTGTATAATACTATCGATAAAGGAAAATAATAAATAAATAAATAAAAATGAAAGAGAAAAGGAATAATAAAGAAAGTAAATAAAGTATTCTACTTCATCCATCAACTATGTCATTACATTACATTTCGTCATTCATTACATACCATATAATAATATTATTTAAAAACAAAATAAAATTTATAATAATAATAATTCATCAGATATAAAATAGGGACCCCCTCTCCTTGCAAAACATTTCAAACACACTCTCATTCCCACAAAACAGAATAAAAAACCGAATCTTTTCTTCACAAACAACCTTAATTCCCTCAAATCAAAAAAAAAAAAAAAAACCCAAAAATGTTCGGAGAAAACATTAGCTCAGATCAACTTCCACCCGGTTTCAGATTCCATCCAACGGACGAAGAACTAATCGTGTACTATCTCCGAAACCAAGCCTCGTCAAACCCTTGCCCTGTTTCCGTTATTCACGAAATCGACATCTACAAATTCGACCCCTGGGAATTACCCGGTTCGTATTTCCTTAAAAGAAAACCGTTAATCGATCTTATCATTATTTATTATTTTTTTTCATGCATGTGATGATGATCAATTGTGAAGTGCAGAAAAGGCAGAGGTTGGAGAGAAAGAATGGTATTTTTTCAGCCCGCGAGATAGAAAGTACCCAAACGGGGCCCGCCCGAACAGAGCAGCCGTTTCGGGTTATTGGAAAGCAACGGGCACAGATAAAGGAATCTATAGTGGATCGAAATACGTTGGCGTGAAAAAATCCCTCGTGTTTTACAAGGGCAAACCACCAAAGGGTATCAAGACCGATTGGATCATGCATGAATATAGGTTAAGCGAATCAATTCGACCGCTTCCCAACAAGCAAAACGGCTCCATGAGGGTAACAATTACATACAAATATTGTATAGATACAAACTTCGAATTTATTGCATTCAGCACCCCCGTATTTTATCTAATTGTGTAGTCTTCACACTTCACACTACTAATTTGTTTAATTTTTTTTTAATGTATATATCAGTTGGATGATTGGGTGCTGTGTAGAATCTACAAGAAGAAGAATCCGACGAGAAATACGGAACAGAGAGTCGAAGAAACATTTGACCGATTTGTGACTTCAAACGATGCTACGTCTGAACAAGATCAACAAGCATCGATGAAATTCCCGAGGACTTGTTCTCTAACTCATTTATGGGAGTTCGATTGCATGGCTTCGATTTCTCAACTCCTCGACGAAAACATCGCGTACAATTTCCCCTTCAACAATCAAGAAACGTCAATAAGCAACAACGGCCCCCACAAATATCAGACGGGGCAAGTGCAGATACACGATTATTAGTTTCTTGTCCGAAAAAAAAAACCACACGATTTTACTAGATTAGTTTATATAGTTTCGGGGGGGTGTTAGGATTAAAGATTGAATTTTTAGCTGCTTTTGTGAAATTATATAAGATAAATAAACAATACAACGTCGATCACGGCGAAATATTTTTCCTTACACGGAGTTTCAATTTACGTTGCTCTCTTCGGAAAGTCGAAAGCTCGAAAGGAGTTTGAATTTGACCGAATTGTCGTAAATCGTTCGATCCGACTTTTTCGGGGAATTCTTGCATGCGGTGTATACATTTGAGTGGTTCGCTACTTTTGGTGATATTAACACGAGCCTTATCTCAACTGTGTGATAATATATTTTCAATAATTATTTCAATTCAGCAAAGTAGTCTGCATGATAATGACCTGTGGAGTGTAGCAGAGAAACTTAGCTCCTAATTTAAATAAAATAAAATAAAATTGAAGAATGAAGAATCACTCGCCTGCGCGTGACGAAGTTCATACTCAAATCTGATTCTGCTTCTTCTGATACCGGAGGCGATCCTGAAAGTTATACCGGAGCTCCGAATTACAGTGGTTATTGGCTTCAATTTTTAGGTTTGGGTAAATTTTCAAGAACAGTTAGGGATTTGAACTCCAAACGACGTCGTTTCAAGCCGGTTTTGACACTTTGTCCGCGGCGGTGTCGTTTCGTCTTAGTTGTTTAGACTGCGTTGACCAATTTTCATTCTAAATGCCGCCAAAAACCTTTGCCTTCATTTTATTTTTATTTTGGGATTTTACTTATTTTGTCATTAAAATAATTTGGATTAAATACAGTTTGTAGATTTAAAGTATGATGTTTGTTATACTTAACCCCCTGAAATATTGAATTTGATGAAGTGGCTTTTTTTCTTCACATAATACACTTCCAACCATTATATATGTATAAAGAATGAATATGTAAGAATACTTTTTTTCAATAATCTTTTAAAAATCAATTTTATTATTCCAAAATTCGAATTTTAAGAAGAAAAAAAATATGAATTTTATTTTAATTTCAATATTTATTTATTTTAGTTTCCTTCATCATATTGTTAGTGAAAACATTTGAATACATAAATCATACTTGTTATGTTCATCGCAACCGTAATATATATTCCTTAGAAAAAATTAGGATTAGTACATATCAATTGCAAAAACCTATAATTTATTGCATATTTAATTCCAAATTTATTGTTATTAACTATTAATAAAAAGAAAATAAAAAAAATATTGGAAGAAAACTTCAGATTTGTTTCACTTGCAAATTAAAAAAATAATTTTGATATCATCTATTATAAAGAAAATAAAAACAAAAAAAAGAGGATAATAATGAATGCCACGTCACCAAAAGCAAAGGTCCATGTTGGACTAAACAAATCCCAAAAATCAGCCACACCTTCTCCCCATGCTGCAATCCTCATTTCTTCATTTAATTTTACCACATTAAAAAAATAAAAAAAAAAAAAAAAAAAAAAAGCCATGAGCACCATAACAAACACCACATCCCCATTCCACCACCGCTCCGCCGCCGCACACCACCGTCTCAGAATCCAATCAACACTGCAAAATCAAGAAAATACTCCTCCAACAACAACCCCAAGAAGAAAAATGTTAACCACAGTACTACTAACAACTTCATTAGCTCTAGCCCTACAAGCAACCCCACAAGCCCTAGCCCAAAACTGGGGCACACGCTCGTTTATAAGGGAAAGATTCTTCGAGCCCGGGTTGTCGCCGGAAGATTCCGTCGCAAGAATCCGGCAGTCGGCGGAGGGGCTCCACGCGCTCAGGGGAATGCTGGAATCCATGTCTTGGAGGTACGTAATATTCTACATAAGACTGAAACAAGCCTATCTTTCTCAGGACATGAAAACTGCTCTTACAATGGTGCCTGAAAATCAAAGAGATTCCTATGTTCAAGCAGCAAATGCTTTAGTCGACAACATGGCTGAGGTATGTAGAACCTCGATAAATTAATAACCTCGCTTAGCTAATAGTTTCTTTAAGTCCCGACTCGGTAAAAACGTACTAAATTATTAGTTCAATAATTTAATATTCAGTTCAATTAATAGAATTTTACTAGTCTCGACTGTATTAATTTATAGAAGTTTAGATGTATATATATATTTATTTAATTAATATTTTGGTTTTACATATAGAATTTATTGTGAATTTTAATTTGACTTTTTTTTTTTGGATGAAATACAGTTTGATCATTATGTAAGGTCGCCGAAGGTGTATGAATCGTATTTGTACTACGAGAAGACGTTGAAATCGATAGATGATCTTGTTGCTTTCTTATAAGCATAGGAGCGAATTTGTTTTTTTTATACAAACTATCATATGATATATATTGAAGTTATTAATTGTTGCATTTTGAATGTTAGTCTTTTAGTACATATATCTTAGTGTATTGTTCATGGATGAAGTTGGATGTTTCTTAACCTGCATTATAAATTAATTATGCTTCTCAAGAATAAAATAAAAAAAAAACATAGAAAATGAAAATGGGAGAAGACAAAGTGAGGAAACTTACTTTCTTTCATACAATGTACGGGTCCATATTCGATCGCCTGATAAAGTATACAAACTACATGATCGATATGCATCGTAGATCTAACATGTGAATACGACACTCAAATGTAACCAAAAATGACTTGCCGATTCTTTAATTTACCAACCTAAATTTTATAGATACAACCATGTACGAGAGAGAGAGAGAGAGAGAGAGAGAGAGAGAGAGAGAGAGAGAGAGAGGGGGGGGGGTTAAAAAAACTAAATTTGTTGCCGGCAAGTCATCCTTGGCTGCACTTGACATACATCGCATACACATACAAGAACTAAGATGATTAAAACATGCACACAATAATATAATTTGAAATCAAAGAAAACATATATAGGTGTATATATAGGGTTTCTTCTCTATTATTTCGTAACTAGTCTGTGTGTGTGTGTGTGTGTGTGTTTTATTGAAAAGGGGCAGCATTTCTATGCAGTACTTGTTGAAAATAATAGGCAGATTTTGGGCATTATCCGTCACAAATGTGACACATGTTAATCACTTGTTTGTTTTTATAAATTAAACAAAAATTCAAATTATTATGTGCATATATATATATATATGGATAAGGGATGGGCAAAGTGATCACTTCTAGGCAAACTTTGCTACACTTTCTCAACCAATTATTCATTTCCACCTTCTCTATCCCATGCTCTTTTTTCTTTTCTTTTTTTTTTTTTTTTTTTTTTGAGTTTGCTTCCCATCAAAGCAAGATATTGTAACTATTTATACAATTACCCTATTTTATCATCTAAATTTTAGATATTAATTTTGTCTACGGTTAGCTCAAAGTTGAGGGTTCACTCATCAATTGGTTATGATCACAAATTTAGTCTCCGAAAATAATTTCGATAAAATCGAATTTTCCGAATTCCGCCGATTGAAATACCAGATACGGTTTTTTTTAATTCCAAGATCCGAATATTTTATAACGGATTTGGAATTACTTTTCCGCTTTACGAAAGTACGAATTTCGATCCTATCTGTCCGATTGCCCCACATCCAATAGTTTCGGGCCGTCTATCAATAAGGATTTCGGCCCAAATAATTTACTCAACAGACAGATTCCATAAGTGGGCCCAAGCCCAAAAGTACCAGTAGAACAAAAAAAATGTAGATGCCAAAACTCTTTATTCGATTTCAGCGTGAAGCTCACGCGATCATTCTCTTTGTCCGAATTCCCAGAATTTTAGCAGTATCAAAACTTCAGGTAAACTCCTCTTAATCATTTTCTTCTTCACTTATTTGCTTTTTTTGATAATTTTAATCATATGTTATCTGTTTAATAGTAGATTGTTTACTAACTCCGAAGGTGGCAGAGTTCTTCCACAAAAAAAAATTGCAATTTCCTGTTTTTTTTCTTAATTAAATTTGATGATTTTTGTGTTTTTTTTCTGTATAGATCTTCACACATATGATGTATAAAAAAAATTATATATATAATTGTAATTATAGTTACAGGGTAAATTAAGACAACATTGTACTGTAACAAACTTAAAGAATCTACATATGTTAGATGTATGCTCTTGTTCATTAGGTGGCTGATTATTATATTTAAAGTTGCAATTTAACTCTATAATCAGCTAAATTATTATCTGATTATTGAATGAACAGAATTACAAGTTTTGTAAATTTGTTTGTGGTTACAGAATGTCAGAGAGAAACGAGGAAACAACACTCGAGAAAACAAATCCAGCAGCAATAATCGACGATGCCGATAACTCGTGCGGGGCGGCTGATGCAAAAGATTCCCAAAAATGCGACGATGAAACTCAAATTCCGTCGCAGAAGCAAGAGGTGTGTAGTTTATTTATATTAGATTTAATTTAATTATATAGATGTTCGTTTGTCTCGTTGGTAATTAATAAACTCCGATAATACTCTCTTTTGAAAGGATGAAGTTGTGAAGAAAAAGTACGGTGGCTTACTACCTAAGAAGATTCCGTTAATCTCCAAGGTATATAGTACGTACATTTTCGTCACTTCCGAATTCTTACGCGGAAATATTAAATATTGTGATTTGATCATGGGATTTTGGTCCGGAAATCATTAATGAGAAAACTTTTTTTTTTGTTCTCGTTTATTATGCTTCATTTTAGAAAGCTTCGGTAAATACTTACTGCTGCCACTCCCCGATTTTCCACATGTGTATGCCAGGATAACGAGCGTGCTTTCTTTGATTCCGCTGATTGGGCTTTGGGAAAGGTTAAAATACTCTCTTTTTTATTATGTATTTTTGATCGTATAGAATAGAGTCCGTAATTAATTTAATAATCACGACTTTTTTTTTCGATTTCTATTATGCAGGTAGGAGCACAGAAGAGCAAAGGTCCACTAGAGGCTCTTCTTCGCCCTAAATTGCAGGTATGGTTGAACCTCGATAAATTAATAACCTCGCTTAAATAATATTTTTTCTCGGTCCCGACTCGTTGAAAACATATTAAATTATTAGTTCGATAATTTAATGTTTTGCTAAATTAATAGAATTTTGCTGATCGCGACTGTATTAATTTATAGAAGTTTAACTGTATTTGATTTTCTAAAACCTCTTCGATTTTTACATCAATGATGTTTATAACTAGGGTAATGTTTTCACTAAATAAACCGGATTATCGATGTTTATCGTGTTTGATTAAACCTTATAGTGGGACAAGATGGCAAGAATATTTGCTTATAACAATACGTATGTATGTATCGTGAAAATTTTGACAGCCAACGCAAAATCAGCACCTACGGTCCCGATCAGCTTATGCACGTGCAGATGGTGTTGAAGGTAAAGAATACAATACTTACATTCTCTTCATAATTCTTGACATTTATATAATATGTATTTTATTTTATTTTATTTTTTCCTCGTCAGATGGTTGTGAATTTGACGATACGAACACTGGCGAAAATCACGACGAGAGCATCGACAATCACTCTTTGGAAAATCAGAATCTTGAAAAGTGATTTTTTTTTTCTCCGTATCGAGCAACGTTATGAACACCTTTGTTATATCGAAAAACAGAGGAAAATGGGATTTAAGCTGCTTATAAGGCTTGGTCTTGTTTAATCTTCGAGTTTATATAAAGCCATCTGATTACGAAAGATGGCAGTGTAACTCCTTCATTACAGGACTAATATAAATACCTCGTACTAATGTATGTGTGTGTGTGTGTGTGTGTTTTCGGTTGAGTTCGTCGTAAGGCCAATTCTGTTACGAGTCACTCTTTGAACAGCAAAAACTCGCAAAGAAATATAGAATAAACGGATGAATGATTGTATTAATTTCGAAACGAAAATTAGGGTTCTTACAACCTTCGACTCAAGAACCGAACTTGAAGACGAAGAAACAAGAAACTCTACTTGAATTCTACTCTAACTAAATTAAGCTAAACTAATATACATATATATAGCAAAGAGGCAACAGCCATAAAGCTGGGATCAGAGCACAATGCCTGCACGTGATTGCTCACGTGCAGTCTTCAAAACGGTGTCGTTTCCCAAAAGTTGTTATATTGGGCTCTCATCCAATTAAATGAGGCCCAATTAATACTAGCCCAAAAATAGTTGGGCCCCAATTAATACATTTAGCAAACCTTTTCAAATAGTCGAATAAATGCAAATTAATTTAAAAAATAAATAAATAAAAGCTCAATTTTCATCTTCTCAAATTTTTAAATCAAGCAAAAAAAGGATAATTTTCAACAACAATTTATTTATTTATTATTAAAAAAATATTGTATAAATGTTGATAAAAATGGAAAATGTAAACAGAAGATATGGCAAAATAAATTGGACTAGGACAAGTGCTGGGGCTAGACCACACTTGTAAAGGACAAACGTAACGGTGGACCACATTTCTATATATTTATTTTATCTAAATTAATAGGATAAGATAAATACTACGCCGACCATTTCAATCAAAATATATTCTTAGCTAAAAATTGATCCCTTTTTCTGCAGCTGTGGTACACAAATTGCTTAATTTAATAGTCTTTTTTATTTTCTCAATCAAATTCAATTTTTGCTACTTGCAACGTACAATTTGTCAACTTGTTCCAATCCATACTAAGTATACATCCAACTTTATTTCTTCTTCTTTTTTTTTTTTAAATTGTCCAATTATTATAATAATAATAATAATAATAATAATTATTATTATTATTATTATTATTATTATTATTATTATTATTATTATTATTATTATTATTATTATTATTATTATTATTATTATTATTATTATTATTATTATTATTATTATTATTATTAAATAGTGATGAGAGAACAGTGTAATTATGGGTTTTTTATTTTATTTTATTTTATGTTAATTTTATTTTCTAGGTCAGTTATCCATTCATGTTAGTTGTCTGAATATTCTTGGGGCACTAGAGCGTAAAAGCGTTATTTAATTTGTTAAAAGTAAATAGATATATAAATCTTTTCTTTAAAGTGTTAACCCTATCTACCTTATTTATCTGTCATTCTTGCCTATGCAATATACCTTTCCAGCATCACTATACTTATTCTTTGCCTTTATTCTACATTTGTGTCAATTTATTTAAATAATTGGCTTATCTCCATTCGAAAAGAAAACGAACAAAAACGAATAACCGGAATTCGGGTTAAATATATATAATATACAATCACTCGAAATACACTGACTAAATACTAAAGACAGCAGCAGAAGACCAAACTTATGGAATTGTTGATAATCGTTCGGTTATGATCAATCTAAACCAACCCATTATGCTATGCATATATACGATTCGAAATAGACGATCAATTCAAAATGGCACAAAACCCCGATTATAAACGTGTACGTGCGACTCGTTTAGATCATGAGCCGAAACGATTATAAACATTGGTTTGCAATTTGTAAACATGTCATGTTCCATTTGAAACCACTCATCCCATGTGCAATAGTACTGTCATTTTTAGAATTGTTGACTTTTGAAAGGAATTATTATTTGTCATTTTTTCTAATATAGACTAGGTTACTAGGAATGCAATTCCAAGTTGTTATCCACCATTAAGGTAAAAATAAAATCCTTGTTTTTTTTTTCTTCTTACATTGAATCATGACTCATGAGTTAACTTTTGCTTTTCATTTTCCCAACCCCTAACATTTTTATTTTTATTTCCTTAATTTATTTATTCTTCATTACAAATAGTATAGAACATTTGCCAGCTCGTATTCCCTCTTTCTCCATCTCTCTTTTGTGCTGTTTTTGTTCTCATAAAAGTTGTTGGTTCATGAATCATGATTACAAATTGCAACATTTTAATTACTTTATGCGCATGCTCTGTTTCTTAAATTGCAAATTAAACCATATTTATTCATAATTAATTAATTAATTAATTACAAAACACATGCATATATATAATAGCAATCCAACCGTGCCATTTTATTTGTTTTAGTTTCGGAACAAAAAATCATATTGTTCGTCGTTTCAACCGATTGGATCGATCCAGATTTCAAAACACTAGATACAACAGCTCAGCCTACCTCGTTGCTTGTTGTAGCTTCAACCGAAACTGCGTGCGAAACTCTATGTAGAGGTGAGCGTGGCCACGGTGCACGTGCGAATCCCGTTTATTTTTCTTTGAAGAAATGTTTAGTTATCTCTTGATACAAATTAGGTAGTTGTTATGATTTATGAATTATGATTACTACCAGTAGCAGAAAAATTATGGCGGACATAGAAAATTCTGCACTTTAACAAGTTTGATCTTTGTCGGTTCAAATTAAACTGTTAATTTTGAGAAAAAGAAATAAATTCTATATTATACACACACACGATTTATTTATTTACTTGGTCACATCCCCAGTTCAGAAGTTATTACTACAAAAGCTCAATCACCTTCAAATTAAAGAAGGTTTGGGGGCTTGATAAATTGAGATCGACCAATTAAGGAACTATAAATAGAACTTAATACATTAAATTAAGGTACCTTATTTTTACTCAAGGATTTGTTCGACCCTACACCCGGTGAAAAACACCGGGTGTAGGGTCGAAGCAACCTTACTCAAGCAATCCAACCGTTATAATTGTCTCAATTATTTCACGATCCAAATATCTGACTTAAGCATCGGAGGGGCTTTCGGCGGATCAACCCCAACTTAATTCATGTTTACTTTTCACGCTGGAATCTCAAGACTATCTAACACGTGATCAGTGACCCGATTCATCTCGTCAACTGTATTTATTATAGGTAATTACTACACATCATCAATATACAAATTACAATTTCATCACACAGTTTTATACATATATTCAACTGTCTCTAATTTATTCTTGTATAATTAAAAATAAAAACTATAATTACTTTTGCTTCCAACTTAAATTGCACTCAACATGATGAAAACAAAATTATTATTAGAATCTGTAATTTGGCCCTTGTTGTAGTTAAAGAGAGGCAGCAAATCTTCAAAAGAGATTACATAATTAAACTCTTAACCTTTTCTCTAAGCTAATCTTCCACTGATCGCGCGCGGCATTCTCCCTAATCTTTAGGTGGTGTTTTTAATAGCTTATTTAAAAGTATAAGTTAGTGATTATGAGCCCGTTTGGCTAAGCTTATTTAAAACATCTTATAAGCTCCTACATCTGATAAGATGTTTTAGGAGCTGATAAGCTGTTAGATCTTATTTTAAAAATTAATTTTTAAGGTGTTTGGATATGTAACTTATAAGTTAATTTTAGTTTTTATAAGTTAATCAGGTGTTTGGAAATAAAAGGTCTGTTTATCACTATAATGACAAAAAAGTACATGACGCTATTATAACTGTCAAACTAATTCGACTTAAATAATTTTGTTCCTAAAATGTTATTATAATAATATTTACAAATTAATTTTTCAAATAAAAATAATAATATAAAATTATATATTAAACATACCAAATATTTTTTTATGTATGTTGATATGACATTTGACAATTTTTTAAAATAAAATGAAGTGTAATAAAATATTTTAATGAAACAGATTTGTGAAAGTTTTAATTTTTCTCCCATTAATATATAATAATATAAAGGTTGTAAAAGAAATGTATATTTTTTTATAGCTAGATAAAAGAAATATAATTTATTATTGAGATAATAAGAATATTCGGGTATTTTTATATACATATAAAATATAAATAGAGAACATTTTTTTTACAATTATTATGATAATTATATTTTAACTAATTATTAATCTTGATTACAAGAATATGTTGTTTTGATAAAATATAAATGTTATTAGTATTCATGTAATATAATAAAGTATTTGAGGGTAATTTTGTATTTTAAGTGTTTTAGTAAAGAATCAAATAAGATCTTATTGAAAAAAGTTGGGGTGGAGGTACTTTTTTAAAAACATCTTATAAGCTCCCTAACAGCTTATTTTTTGAAAAAATAAGATCTTTTCGAATTTTTTTACCAAACACTTTTTAACAGCTTATAAGCTCTTAAACATCTTATAAGATGTTTTTAGGAGCTTATAAGCTTAGCCAAACATGCTCTATAAGTTAAGTTGTGATTAAGTGCTTATTTCTAAAAGTTCAGTTGTTTGTAAATTATTTGAAAAATAAACTAATATAGAAAAAATATGTACATGGGTGCAACATCTAAAAAAAATATATATATATATATATATATATTAGTCCTATTTATTTATTTAATTTTTGTTTGATTTCGTCAAACATACAGGTTGTGATAAATATGATTAGAGATCCTTGTTGAGTATATTTTACAATGTTTTGGCATCTCCAACCGATACAATCATCATACCTTAATCAATCATAACTATAATACCTGGATTCCAAATAATCAATGGTAATAATTTGTTTATACCAACAAATCCTGATCCAACTGCCAAATTATTTGAAATAAATATTACTTTTTTTTTTTTAAATAAATAAATAAATTATAACGTATATATATGTATGTATGTGCTTATGCATCATGAGTTCACTCAATGCAACTGTTAAATTTAATATCAATATCACTCTGTAAGATCTCCAAACAAACATATAAATTTTCAACAGTATAATATAAAAATTAATTGATCAATTATTGTTTTTAGCTAGGGTAATAATAATCCCTTGAATTATTGGCCAAGATTGGTTACGTAATTACGTTCTTGGCGGGGGGGGGGGGTCCCATTTTAATCAATTATATTTATATTTATAACTGAACCACCAAATTATCTGCCTAAGTGATGATTCCTATTGTTAATTAATTAAAAAAAAATATATTTTTGCTGTAAGTCAACAATTATTCATTATTCTGTTAAGTTACAGAATTTGCAGTGGTCAGCTGTTAAAAGAGAGATCTGAGCATCTCTTCGATCTTCTGATTTATTATTATCGGGACAGTTATCATATTCGAAATCAACGGCTTAGATTCGTTTTAGCGTTTGCATGTAGAAATTAAATCCAGCCCGTGATAGAAAATCTTTAGCGTCTGATCCATTTACGTACAATCACAATTCACAAGTTTGTTAATGTTCATAGGTGGTGTATGCAAATACTTATTTAAAAGCAGAAGTTAGTGATTGTGAGTTAAGTTAATTTTAAGTGATTATTTCTATAAGTTAGGGCCTTAGGCGTGTTTGCAAATATTCTGGAAAATGAATTTAAATAGAAAAAACAGGTATAAAGATGCTTTTAAAAGAATAACTTAAAGCAACTTATTTTATGATAAGCAAAAGCAAAAGTTAATTTTACAAACACCTAAAAACAGATTATGAACCAAAAAAAGCTTATAATCACTTTCAAAAAACTTTTGCAAACACTACCGTAGAAAAGAAAATGGAGAAATTAGCTTGAACTCCTTCAAAATAATTTTTATAGCTTTAAAGACACCTGAATTTTGAATTTTTGCTAAAAAAGTTTTTAGGAAAAACTTTCCCCGTTTTAGTTTCCTTGATTATTAGGTTACACCGAAGGAGATTGAGAGAAGTAGTGTAACCATATTCGTATGTATGCGTGTGCATGTGCGTGTGTGTATGTAAGTGTGTGATTGTATGTGTGCATGTGTGGCAGAAATTCGACGATACCAGCAATGGGACGAAAATACAATTAGATTAAAGGAGAAGAAGATGTGTTTAAAGATCAAAGTGTAATGAAAGACAAGTGAGAAAACACAATCTTTCCTTTTTATCGAAATAGAATTAATGTGGGAACCAAATGATAGCGACACAACACTAAATTGTCAAGAAATCGAAAACTGTAATTTCCCTCTCTTTCCTTTTCAAATTTTACTTTCTTTTTACATTATTATTTTTTTTACCATAAAAATAAGAGGAAATTATAATCACCCCCTAAGGTAAGGTCTATTAATGAAGCCCCCCCTTATGTCTCCATATTTACATCCACCCCCTTGCAATTAGTAGATTTCTTACACTAGTACCCTTTTGTAGGGGTGTATGTAAGAAATTTACAAACTATAGGGGTTTGGGTGAAATTTCTCAAAAATAAAGAGTTGTTTCGTAATTACACTCTACCTTAGGGAGGTGGTTGTAAAATTATATAAAAATAAAATGAAAAAATAAAAAGAAAAATTCAAAACCAAAAAAAAACAAAAAGGCAAATCTGTTTTGGATACGGAACTAAGAGCCAAACACGGCGCATGTGCAGACGAATTGTTGCATGTGAATTGTGATGTGAACCCTTCTCAATCTCCACCGTTGATTTTTTAAATTACATTTCATCTTTTGTAACAAACAAGTTAATAATATTATATATTATCTTAATATTTTTATACTTTATTTTACAGATTAATTGCAACTACTCAGGGGCATTTTTGTCTACATAATTTAATATTCTTTATTTTCAGCTTAATTACCGTACCTGGCTAAGTACAGTGAGATCTTAAAACAGTTGACCTCAACATTGAAAATCATTTCTCTATTTAATATTTAATTTTTAATTACTAAATAAGCAATATAATTTAGAAGTGGTAAAACTATTTAAGACCGAGAATCCCGGGACACTAATATTGATTTATTTCTTTAATAATGTCAGTAATCACATTTCATTTTCCACTCAGATATCATAATTCTTGAAAGAATTACTCTTCACGTAAAATCAAGAAATAAAAAGGATAGTGGGGGGGGGGGGGGGAAAGGGAAAGAAGAAAAGTGAAGGGACCTTGTCGAAAACTGATAATTACTTGCACATGCTAAGAAAAAATAATTTGAGTATGTGGGCTATATCATATGATTAATAGGTATTATTTAATCTTTCCATAAAAAAAAAAAGAACCACTAGCCATCATGGGTAGAAATCATGTGTTTAAGATCAAAATCAACACTTCAAAAATACAATATTTATTAAGTAAAAATTAGTTCGTTTATGTTCCATAAATTTCAGGAAAATCGAAATCAAGAAAATTGTAACGAACTAATTTGTTCCAAAATTGGAAAATGTTAAATCGTAATCGACATTATTAAAACAATTCATTTTCTTTATCCACCCATAATATATTTCAAACTTCTAATTGTCGGTTCAGTTTCAGTTTGATTTAAGTTTGGATTTCGATTTCGGTCCTAATCTATAAAATTAATAGTAGGTTCATGGGCAAGCCCATTTAGGCATATCAAATTCATATTTTCTAATACAAATCCAAAACATTCCCAAACGTCCAAAATCGTAATTTCAAAATTCAAAAATGACAATATTCGTACCAAAATTAAAAAAAGGTTTGAATTCAAATATGTTCCAATTTCCACCGAATTAACCACCAATTGGAAAAAGGCAAATTCCCTCATATAATAAAACCTAAAAACCCTACCTTTTAATCCCAAAAAAATTAAAAAAATTAAAAAAGAGAAAAGAAAAGGCATTCTCCATACCATGAATTTACTTTTCAGGCAACATCAGAATATGTTTTCTGGTTATTATCCTAAGCAGTTTTTGGTCCCCCACAGCAGCCTTAAAATTTTCAGTTAGTTGGACCAGTCATTTTACCCCCCACCCCACCCCCGCCCCCTGCCCCCCCACCCCCCACCGCTAGGTCTTTTTTCACATGCCTCTATTTATATCACAACACTCATTCACATATTTCTCATTCCACACACCACTTTTTCTTCTCTCTAACATTTCTCCAAAGCAAAGTAAAAATGGCGTTTTTTGGTCTTTTCTTGGTTGGGTTTCTCGCAATGGTGTCCCATGTTAACGGCGACGGCTGGGTCAACGCCCACGCCACCTTCTACGGCGGCGGCGACGCCGCCGGAACAATGGGTATGCAACAAAATAAAAATAAAAATCAAATCTTTACTCTGTAAAAATGCAATCTTTAATTTACAGCTGAGTAAAAATGTAATCTTTAAATTTTTTTTTAACAGGCGGAGCTTGTGGGTATGGGAATCTGTACAGCCAAGGGTACGGTACAAACACTGCAGCACTGAGTACAGCTCTGTTCAACAATGGGTTGAGCTGCGGCTCTTGCTATGAGATCAGGTGTGTCGGCGATAAGAAATGGTGTCTGCCGGGATCTATTCTGGTGACGGCGACCAATTTCTGCCCGCCGAACAACGCCTTGCCCAACAACGCCGGCGGGTGGTGCAACCCTCCCCTCCACCACTTTGACCTCTCTCAGCCTGTCTTCCAACACATTGCTCAGTACAAAGCCGGAATTGTCCCTGTTTCTTACCGGAGGTAATTAATTAATCACACACACACACCCATGTGGGTGTGTGTAAAATTGAATTTCATTAATCACACACAACACACACACACCCATGTGGGTGTGTGTAAAATTGAATTAATTTTTTATGGGTGTGTGTAAAATTGAATTAATTAACTATACACAATACACACACATCCACGTGGGTGTGTGTAAAATTGAATTGGTTAATCACACGCAATACACACACATCCATGTGGGTGTGTGTAAAATTGAATTAATTAATCACACACAATACACACACATCCGTGTGGGTGTGTGTAAAAATTGAATTAAGGGGTGCATTAAATCTTACACTAAAAATGTTTCCCCTGTTTTTATGACTTTGTAGGGTGGCTTGTATGAGAAGAGGAGGGATAAGGTTCACCGTTAACGGACACTCGTACTTCAACCTAGTACTCATCACCAACGTCGGCGGCGCCGGCGACGTACACTCGGTCTCCATCAAGGGTTCAAGAACAGGGTGGCAGCCGATGTCGAGAAACTGGGGCCAAAACTGGCAGAACAACGCCAATCTCAACGGCCAGAGCCTCTCCTTCAAAGTCACCACCAGCGACGGCCGCACCATCATCTCTAACAACGCCGCTCCGGCGGGCTGGTCGTTCGGGCAGACCTTCTCCGGCGCTCAGTTCCGGTGAACCGGGCATAAAAAAAACCGGGTTTTACTTTTTTAAGTTTTTTAGTTCCAAAAAAATTATATTATTAGAAATACATATATAATGGTCACAGGTATTAGTAATGTGACTGATTATGGTAGGAATTTAATGTTTAGGGGTCAAAAATGAAGGGGACTAATTTTAAATGGTCCTTTTTGTTATTAAGAGCGGAGCGCAACTCAATTTATGAGGGGCTTTTCTCTTAATTAATTAGGTTTATTATTTTTTGTTTTCTTTTTTATTATTGGGCTTTGAATTGGGCTTTCTGTTGTAAGGCAGAAGGTGGCTGAGGTGGATGTGTCATCACCCGCTTTGTAGTATTATCACTACTACTTCGAATGGTGCTTTTTTTTGCTTTATTGGGTTGGTTTTGTGTGTTAAGAAAGATTTATTTTTAATTTTATTTGTAATGAAAATTGCTTTTTTATTATGTTTTATTTATATTTTTAGCTTAATATTCCAATTAATAAATTAAAAGTTAGGGCAAAGCACGGTCACACCCCGACGTATGGCCAAATTATGAATATATACCTCTTGTTTGGGCAGCCACCCCTCTTTTTAAATATTTTTACATAAAATATATGTAATACAGTTATTTATCGAAGCAAATCGTGTATTCAGTTCGCTAAACTGTATGAAATGTTGGCGTGCCGAAATTTCGGACCGATTTATCGATTTAACATCTATAAATTTACATATGCGAAGGTTTTTCGAAAGATAATACATAATTGATGTGGGTTATTGTAATTACCTAAACCGGAGGAAAATTTTCGTAATTTAATGTTAACTTTAGGAGTGGGCGTAATTTACTTTAAAATTATTACTAGTTTCATTCTTGAAAGAATAGATCTCAACATAGGGAAGTGTGGTTGCTTAAGACCGTATTTGTTGGAGATAAAAAGGAACACAATTCCAGGCAACAGTTTTTATTTGTCTTATATGTAAATTCAAATCCCGGTCAATGACAATATATATTTAAATTTTAATTTAAAAATTAAATATGAGCAACATAAATTAAATTCAAACGCCAAATATGGAGTCTTGAGCCCCGTGACTATTAAAGTCTGGTCATCTTAACAAACAAACACCCATTTCTAGAAACACATTGACACAAAACCAACACCACTTTGGACCCATTGATTCTTCTTTATTACATCATCACCCACACTACTTTGGTTCAAAATAAGTTGCACAAAAATATCAAAAAACTATGTATATATATATATATACATGATTATAGTATATTCTCCCTCTATTCCACAATAACTGTCTCTTTTTTAAAATATTTTTGTTTCATATTATCTGTCACTTTAGATTTTCAATAATGCATTAAATGCATTTTTCCTGTTTTAACCTTATTAATGAAACTCTATTCATTAATTTTCTCTTATGAATCATTAAATACTAAAGGTTGTTTTAGTCATTTTTATATGACTTTTCTAAAATCAAAATATATTTATTGAATTTCTTAATCTTTCTGGAAAGTGAAAAGTGACAATTATTTAGGAACGGATGGAGTATTAAACACACAGTTAGAGAATTATCGGTTAACTATTGCGACAATATAAAATATAATAAAGAACACATAAATTAACGTGGTTTGGCCAAGAACAAGGCCTACATCTACCAAGAAAAGGAGCACTGATATTATTAATCAAGATATTTTTTTATATGAATTAGGCCCAAATAAAAACAAACCATTTTAAAATTGGGCTATACAAACATTTGTTTAAATAGTATTTATATGAATTGGGCCCAAATAAAAATAAACCCTTTAAAAATTGGGCTATATAAATAAATTTGTTTTAAAATATTAAAGGCCCATTAATTTAGTTTCAATGTCGACCAATTCAGTGAATAGTTAGTTCTGCACCAGATATGATGCTCAGATTGCAAATACCTTCACCACCACCACCCAAACCCCCAATTACCCAAACTACCCTCAAAACCCTCCTCTCCGCCACCACCACCACCACCGATTCCGGCGCTAGATTCCGGCAGAAGCTCCTCTACCTCCGCCACCTCAACGTAAACCCCACCAAAGTCCTCCACATAAACCCTAACATCCGCTCCGCCCCCCTCTCCACCCTCCACTCCATCGCAGAATGCCTCTCGTCAATGGGCCTCGAATTCGCCGCCGTCGGCCGGATTCTCGACATGTACCCGCAGCTTCTCACCGCCGATCCCTACGACGATATTTACCCAATCCTCGATTTCCTTCTCCACACCGTCGAGCTCCCCTTCTCCGAAATTCGCAAATCGATTACTCGGTGCCCTAGAATTCTCGTCTGCCATCCAGAATCCCAATTGAAGCCCACATTCGACTTCTTATCCGAATTCGGATTCGCCGGCCCGAACAAATTGACATCTCAAACCACGCTGCTGCTGGTATCCAACGTTGAGTCTACATTGATGCCAAAGATTGAATTTTTAGTTAATTTGGGGATTGAATACAACGAGGTTAGGAGTATGGTGCTTAGGTCACCTGGATTGCTGACTTTCAGCGTGGAGAACAATTACATGCCAAAGGTGGATTATTTCTTCAACGAAATGAACGGCGATTTGGAAGAAATCAAGAGGTTTCCGCAGTATTTTTCGTTTAGCTTGGAGAGGAAAATCAAGCCACGTCACCGGCTTTTGAGGGAGCACGGATTCTTTATGCCTTTGTCAGAGATGTTGAAGATTAGTGACGGGGAGTTCAATTTGCGGTTGATCGAGAAACGCTTGCACATTGTTGGGGAGTTCTTGTAGCATTTATGTAAGTGTTTTATTTATTTTTGCTTTTAATTTGTATATGGCTCTTTTTGTTGTTGGATGATTGATGATATTTGAAATGTGTACTCGATGATTTCTTGTATAATATAACAGACTTTAGCTTCATTAATCGGCTTCATTGAACACTAGCTCTAGACGAATAAGATCGAAATATAACTCCGATAATTAGGCTTCATGATTGGATCTGCCGTGGCTTTACTAGAATCGTTTTTTTGCGAGGTTATGTTCGTTTTGAATAATACAATAATTTTGAATCGTTAACGAATAACAGAGTCGAAGTGATGTTAAGGTTGGGATCTTAATCTTATCATATTGCATAGCTTATAGTCTTAGTTATGCTCGTCTTTATTTCGACTGTCTGAATATGAACTTCTAGCATTCGTTTATTAGTATGTGATGTTTATGCGGTCCAAGAAGTCCAAAAATCATAGGTCGGTCTATTAATCGATCCTCGTTCGTCCAATCCCACGTTTAACAACCTCGACTGTTAATATTCTAATTGTGTAAGAGAAGAAAACTTGTTCATTTAATACAGTTTTATACATCTCTATGCTACGGTCAAATGCACATTGACTATGGTTGAAAACTTAAATCGAAAATTCTGAAATCCGACGATTCGGATCTGATTTTTTTTTTTTAATTTTGGAACAATATTTTTCATTCCGTATTATGAAAGTTCTACTTTCCGATTTTTACTTAATGGAATTGGAATACGTATTAAATTCCGATTTTAACTTCAAAAATATTACCGGATATTCCGACTTTTTTTTAAAAATTACATTTATAATATGAATAATATTATGCAATTTGTATTATAGTTGACAAAAAATATAATTTTCTTTCAATCCGCCGAATCCCATCCGAAAATTTTTGATTTTGGAACAATTTTTAAATCCCAATATCGTATTTTTCCGATTTCCGTCGGAGCAAAATTTGAATTAGTTTTCAACATCCCGGAAAGATGAAATTTTCCGAAAGTGCTAATTTTGATCAAATTCGTCCGATTTCCATCTCGAATTGGGCTTTCTATACAACATTTCTTTGTGGTAATGGATCAAGTTTGCCCTCTCTCTCAATTTTGGCCAAAGAAAACTTTCCTGATTGTTTTCAATTATTTCCCTCTCATTTACTGCTCTATCATTAAATCACTTTTATTTATATAAATAAACAGAATCTTAATTATGTGATTACTATATCAGTAAAGTTGGTACAGTCAAAGTTGATTTTAAATATATGTCCAGATAAGGTAATTGTTTTATTGTGCAGCAATACAGTTTCTGTGAATTGCATGCATTGCATGTACGGTCTGTGCCCCCAGAAAATAAAAATAAAAATAAAAATAAAATAAAATAATAAATAAATCTGTGCCCTCCAATTGCAACAAAGGACAAACCCTAAATTCAGTTAGGGATTTTAAAAGATCTGACTGTGTGTGAATTTGCAATGCTTTGTTTGATATAAAGAGTCTGACAATAACACCCCTGCGTTTGTTTAAATGCTTCTTCTTCTTGGAAATGATCAACTCTTTAATTAATTGCTTCTAACTACTCCCCACCATTTTTTTATTATTTTTTTAAATCTGTTGTGTGTGGATTTCCAGAGTATAAATGTTAACTTGTTCACGGTTTCCTCTTTAAGTAATTTTGTTGACTACCTTATATAAATACATAAAATATAGGGTGTAAATTACGGCCAACTCCCTAAGAAATTACGAAAATACACCTCATGTTTGGATAATTGCAATTACTCCTATTAACTATGATTTTTTGTGCATGTTCATATGTATGGTGTCAAGTTTAGTTTAATATTATAGATTATGTGAAATATTCTTCAATTTGTACCCGTTTTACCCTCATTCGATCTCAACATTTTGAATCAAGATGAGCATTAAAAACTGCATTTTCGCACAAAACAAGTACAAACTACAAAATATACCACGAAATTTTGAAGATTCTGTTGAATTTGACACCGTAAGGGTGAGACGCGTAAGAAGATTCATAGTTGATTGCCCAAATAGAAGAGTTTTTTTTCGTAATTTCAACTTACCTCGGTTGTGTTCGTAATTTACCCTAAAATATAATGTAAAGAAAATTCAAATTATTTTGTTCCCAACAATAGTTCTGCAGGAAAGTAAGGTTTCTAAAAAATTGAACATATGTTCGAAATTTTCATAAATATTTGAAAAGAAACCTCAATTTTGTTCTTAGAAAAAAAAAAATGAAAGAAAAATTAACTGTTGATCAACCCCACTGTAATAATGTACACCTGTAACATCTTCAACATCATTGTACCCAAGAAAAGTAAAATTCCGATACTGCCCCTACATATATATTTTATAACCTAATAGCAACAGTTATGTATAGATACAGCAGTAGAGTAATTGAAAGCGACGAATTGTACAAGAAAAATAAAACCGAGTAGAGAGAACTACTGATCCACCACTGTTGTTGACGTCAACTACTTAACACAGACATTATATTGGCTTTTTTCATACATAGGGATGTGAGAGAGAGAGAGCTACATACATATACTTACACACAGTCACACACATATATACATATATGTATCTATCTATAACCACACACACACACACAGAGGGAGAGAGGGGGAGTAGGGTTTATTTAACATCCATTGAGTTGTTAACATCTGCCAAATCATGGGAAACTGTGGAAAATCAACCTTTACTTGCCACTTTTAGTATCTCTCTCTCTCTTCTGTTTCTCTCTCTAACAGAGGAGAGAGAGAGAGAGAGAGAGAGAGAGAGCAGTGACTGTTAAAAAAGTATTGGGTAGAGGGACAGTTTAACTTGTTACCTTTACTATCTATATTTGGTTTTAGATCCCTGTGAACTCCTTCTCCTTCTTTGGATACTCCACAACTGTCAACATTCAAACATTTTTTTTTAATTTTTTTTTATATTATTAAAAAAAATGTTTCCAATTATTACCACACTGGCAATTCAGCTGCCTCTTTCACCAACCCAACTGTGGGGGGGAGTTATGGCTATATATGTTCTCTATAATTATATATTTTTAGTTAATCCAAATTAACTCTAATTAGTCATTACTAAGAGATTCAAAATCGAAACATTTTTCCGTGAAATTGTTCGTTTGGAAATTTCGCACGTCCGCACCATTGGAACATTAGGTTCGTTTTGGTCGTTACTAAATTCGTCGAAGAGAGTAAATAAACATAAAACTATATTTTAATGGTGTATACTATAATAGAGTATGATTTTTTTTAATTTTTTTTTACCGTGGGTGAAAAAAGGAATTACTGTTTAAGTTGACAAGGTTATGCATATATTTCATGGATATATATCCCTGCACTGCAAGCACAGTGGGGTGTGTTTGGATAAGACTAGACTTGGAACCAAATATTTCACAAAGGGTAGTTGGAAAATAGGTGATATGAATTATTACCATATGTCCTTTTTTCATAATAACATGTAACTATCCATTTTACTCTTTTACCCTCATCTCTCATACAAATTTTCAAATAAAATTAAAATTAAAAAAAAAATCCTTGTAAAATTGAGATATTATTTTTCACTATACCACCAATAAATAATAATATGTAGTACTATTTGAAATTTATTTTCTGAGCAGTAATCAACCTTTGTATATAACATCAAGAACAAAGTTGCCCAACTGGGCCTGTGTTGTGTGTAGGACAAAGTTAACTGTCTTTCATGCAATTTGATTATGTCTTTCTTCTTTCTTTTTTCTCTTTCTCACACTCTGTGTGTGTTTTGTGTGTGTGTGTGTGTTTTGATTAATTATTGCAATCCCATGTTACTGGTTAGATATTGTCTTGTTGTTTGTTGAGTGGTCCTTTTGGTGGTGGAACCCTAGCTTATTTCACTGCCCATCTAATTAATATATACATACACTATATATATATATATAGTTCTAGGGGAACACTCTCAACAGAATCTCATCCCCATTAAACCTACTTTTGTATTGTGTGTCTCTCTTATATCTACATTTATTTATCTACCCTAGCTACTATATATCACTTGTCGTGTCAAATTCGAACTCCCTCGATTTTAATTTATAGTAAAACTTATCACGGTAAATAAAATTTTACTCGGGAAATATGATCTATATTGTCCATAGCTTCACAAAACTTAGTCTGATCGAAGATTTTTCTTTTCTAATGTCCGAAAGAGAGGGAAACTTTTGAAATTGATTTGAAATTACAAGAATTGATACTATGTTTTGAAATTATCATGTTCTTATAAATGTAGGACCGTTTGATTTAAAAAAATATGTTTCCATGTCGATCACATGTTTTATATAAGTGTTGGTAGTTAGGACAAAATAGTAATTAGTGGGATGTGCATGTTATATTTGTTGTCCTTAAATAAATGTGCATGAAAAGTAGATGATGGACTAACAAACTAACACTTGTTTGGTACGAATACAGCAACCACCAGACCACCTTATTCTTAACTAATTCTTGTTATTACTGCACTTTTAATCACTTTGGTCTCGTTTGATTGGAAAGATTAACCATGATTAATTAAATAATCGATCTCTATTTGACGTTGGGAAACCCCAATAACTTGTCGGGTCGATCTGCAAATTTTATATTATGATGAAACGTCCAATTGTATATTCGGGTTTTCATTAGATTAATTTTATTTTTACTAATTTTAGTTTGGCAACCAAAACGAAGGGTTTCAGTTTCTTTTGTTAGATTATGTGTAAAGTATATAATTTGTATTCAACAATTAAATCTAACGAACGGTGTGGATTGCTCCACGCATGCATGTACATATATCAATCATACCATATACTGTTACAGTCAATCAAGAAAGTTTCACACGTGAGGTCTCATCAGAAGGAAGCCCCACACGTGTGATCGATCGATCAACAAACCTGTTAAAAAAACCGCCATGAGTGAAGAAACAAAAGAAAGAAAAGATGATCAGAAATAATGCATGATGAAAAAACTAATCAATCATAGACATGTGATATACTCTAGGCTGTGTACAGATTATTCTTCGGAAAATCTCGTCCGTTCATCTGATTATTCACAAATTTAGATAAACGGACGAGATTTCTCGGAGGTGTACCGTGTACCTTCTTCCTTCCAGGAAATATATTTTTCCTGCAAAATTTTCTCTGCCAACTCAACAGTTTTAACTTTTTCATACATATATATATTATGGTCTGAAACCATATATAAATAAATAAATAAATAAAATAAATAAATAAAAACACACACACACACACACGAATGGCTTCCCAGCACCAATTATTTTACTTTTTCTTCCTGACATTTTTTTAGCTTTAGTATATTAAAAAAAATAAAAAATGAAATGGGGTCAAATCCATTTATGGATTTTCATTGTCAACAGTAGTTTATTGAATTAATGCTAAGGCAGAGTTTTTCCAGTATATAAATATAATATTAAATATTTATTTATTTATATATTTATATATATAAGTTTGAATGTGTTTGACCAAAATATTTAGGTTCACTGAAAAAATATAGTACATTCCTGACTACAATAAATGTAAACGTCTGCAATTGGTTTTGCCATTTGATTCTAGTAATCTTGCTCAAATATTTCTCATTATTATTTTCTTTTAATTACTGCTTAACAAATCTATTTTTTATCCATCAAAGTGAATAAATTAAATATCAAGAAAACCAAAGGACCGGGATGCAATTTCTTAAAGCATGGGTTAATTTTGGTTGAAGTGACGATGTCTTTTTTACACTCTAATAATTTACTGATGCAAAAATAAATGCAGTCATTATCAAATGTCAAATATATGATATGGATTGATGGGGATAAAGGAACACATAGGCAAATGTATTTATTTAGATAATTGATAATTACGTATGTATATATATATATGTGTGTGTGTGTGTAGTAGTGTGTGTATAAAATGATGAAGCAAAGGCAGCTCAGACATCACGTTGTATTCTTTCTTGTCATTGTTGAGACAGACAGCCTAAACCCCTCTAAACCCTACTCTCTCTCTCTCTCTCTCTCTCTCTCTCTCTCTCTCTCCCTCTAATTAATTTCAAATTCTCTTCACTCTCAGTTTATAATTATTCATCTCAGTTCCAAAAATTGTAACTAATTAAATTTCCAAAAATAATCAACCTAAAAATTTCAATAAAATAAAACATTACACTTGTACTTTTATATATTTATTTAATAGTATAGGTGAAGAAAAATACAATTTGAGGATTCCGTTGATTCCAATCCAAAAAAGATTAAATTCTGGAAATAAATTCATTCCAATTTCTTAAAGAAATTAAAACTAATTTTGTTTAATGAAATTTATTTTTTCGAATGGTCCAATTCTAATTTGTAATTAACGATTTGCACCCCTAATTATTACAATGCATTCTCTATAACAAATTAAAACTAATTCACCTCACTTTTTCAACAGAAAAATCCCACAATAATTCGAATATGTTGAAATTTTATAAATAAGTTGACAATAACAATAAAATTACAATACTACCCTTTTTATTAAATCTACAAATACATTATATATATATTAAGTCACAACTCTCTTCTCCAGTGTAAACGGCAAGAGAGAAGTGAGGGAAGATCAACCATCAAACATCATCATCAAATCAACACACCCAATATATACATCTGTATTCTTTCTGCTACTAATTCATTTTCTGCTCCCAAAGTTTCACACAACATTCCCTTTTTCTTCTCTTTTTTTCTTTTTTAGTCCCTATATTTTACTAATAGTTTCAAAGAAACCCCTCATAATTAATTTCTTCTTCCCAAGATCTTTCCTTTTCCTTACTCCTTTTTTTTCCCGATCATATCTGCTGATAAAAGATATGATGTAGGATTTTTTAACAGTTGTGTTGCAGCAGCAAGCAAGCATCATTTGTCAGAACCAAAAAATAATTAAATAAATAAATTAATTAATTAACCGAATATATATTTTTAATTAATTAATTAACCGAATATATATATATGGCAAGCAAGAATTGCAGTGCAATATATTTGACGTCATCTTCTTCTTCGAGCTCTACCCTAGGTTCATCAATGGCGGACATGATGGTGTATTCAGATCATTTGAGAAGTAGTAGTACTACAACTCGGCCCGTAATAAACAGCCCGGCCCGTTTCGGGTCTTCTTCTTCTTACAAGCCCGAATGGGGTTTTCCTTACTCCGACGAAACGAACAACAGTGATGGAAAATGCTCCGATCATTCCAGCAGCGGCGTGTTCGGTGAAAACAACGACACCATGTTTGATCTCAACGCAGCCTTGAACGAGGAGGAAGAAGATGAAGAAGAGGAGTGTGGTATGCACGCGTTTAAGGATGGAAGTAACGCGAGTGGGCAGTCGAAGCTCTGCGCCAGAGGCCATTGGAGACCTGCTGAAGACTCGAAGCTGAAAGAACTCGTCGCCCATTACGGCCCTCAGAACTGGAATCTTATTGCAGAAAAGCTGGAAGGAAGATCAGGTAATAATAAATTAATTAATTAATTAATTTATTATTATCCTGTCTTTAATTTTTTTTTAATGTAATAATATTAATTTTGTTTGGTTGTTTGGTTTAAGGTAAGAGCTGTAGGTTGAGGTGGTTTAACCAGCTGGATCCGAGGATAAACAGGAGAGCGTTCAGCGAGGAAGAAGAAGAGAGGTTAATGGCGGCGCACAGGCTGTACGGAAACAAGTGGGCGATGATTGCGAGGCTGTTTCCGGGGAGAACAGACAATGCGGTGAAGAACCATTGGCATGTAATAATGGCGAGAAAGTACAGAGAGCAATCCAGTGCTTATAGGAGGAGGAAGATGGGTCAGTTTGTTTTTAAGCGTATGGAAGACGACGATCTTCCCGTTAGTAAAACTCATGAACCGCCACTGCAGACTTTCGGCGGCGGCGGCGGTGGCGTTTTGTGTGGGTTGAGTGGTGGTGGAGCGAGTGGTTATAACGGTGGTAATGGGTTTTGGGCACCGCAAACATCTCTTGGTTTCTTTCCAGGTTTTTTTGCTTTTCCTTCAACTTATTATTTATTAAATAATTATGAATAAGTTAAATAGTAGCTTTTGATTTTATTTATGAGTAGGTTTTTTGCTTTTCTTTGATTTTATTTATTTATATTTTTTTGTGAATTTGTTGAGACCTAAAAAATTAAATATAAATTAGCTGATTATTTTGGGACAATTTTGTTAATTTGTTGTTGAAAAAACAGGTTTTTTGTGCAATTTGTTCTTTCCAAGTTTTTTGCATTCTTTTAAATTATTATATTATTAAAATTTATGAGTAAAGCTTTTTATTTTAATTTATTTATTTATGTATGTTTTTTGTGCAATTTGTTTAGACCTAAAAAATTAATTAAAATTAGCTGATTATTTTGTGACAATTTTGTTTATTTGTTATTGAAAATGCAGGTTTTTTTTTTTGTGCAATTTGTTCTTTCCAGGTTTTAAGCTATCTTTTAAATTATTATTTTATTAATATTAAAAAGTATGAATACGTTAAATAGTAGCTTTTGATTTGTTTTTTTTTTTTTTGTTTTTTTTTTTTAATTGGGCACAGTTTGTTGAGACCTAAATAATTCACAAAGAAAATAAAAAAATAAAAAATGAATGATGATTTAATGACAATTTTAATTAATTTATTTATTATTGAAAAAGCAGGGTTCCCAAGTAGTAGCAGTGATATGATGAGTATATTCAACCACAGCAAGCAATGGGAAGAACCCAATTTTCATAACCCCACTAATTCTTACGACCGTCACAATTTCCCGTCACAGCCGCCGTCACTCTATCACTACCCATCCTCAGCATTCCCCTCAGCGGCGGCGGCGCAAGAAGTTCCGGCGGCCATGGAACAACCAACAACTGCAGCAGATCAAGAAAGAATTTCACCGCCGCCGCCGCCGCCGTTTATAGACTTCCTCGGTGTTGGAGCTCTGTGAAAAAGAATAAAATTAAATAATCAATCCTTTTCTTCCTTTCGTTTAATTTAATTATCAATTATTAATTAATAACAACATATATATATATAATTGTTGTCACCCATGTTTTTAATTAACTTCGAAACTTCACTATCCTCAGATGCAAACTGTTCCAAAATGTGTAACCATTTCTCAAGTCTTGTCACTCTCTCTCTCTCTCTCTCTCTCTTCTTTCTCTCTCTAAGTGGTTAATTTGGACCACAACTCCCTGTAATAATTGTTGAGTATGTAACCAAAAATGGAATTTAAAATTTAAAAAAATAAAAACATGAAGAATGGAAAAGACAAAGGAATAGTGAGTGTGGCAAAAATGGACATTATTTAAAGATTGGCACAAATTCTGGTCCAAAAAACAAACCCCTCTCTCTCTCTCTCTCTCTCTCTCTCTCTCTCTCTCTCTCTCTCTCTCTCTCTCTCTCTCTCTTCTTTTTTCTCTCTCTAGAATGTTAAAGAAATCCACATGGGGGAAGATGATATGATGATAAAACCTAATTGGAACTGTCAAAAACACATGAATTTACAGAGTGCACGAATGCTTCAAAACAATTGGAATGCTGAAAGTGTATATATGTAATGATTATATTGTGTAAGAATTATCCATTGGATTATAAACTATAAATCAAGAACTTGTTAATTATTAGATGGTCCAATGGGTATTACGGTCCATCACAAAAGCCCAACTAGATATACTCTGGTTTTACATGCATACATAAATCCAATATGCCAATTGACAATTTTCCAATAATGTCATGTTTATGAGGTCAATTTTGTCATTTTCTTTTTGTTTTCTATCCGAATTTATTTTAGCTATTTTTTTTTTATTTTTGAAATTTCACATAATATGTAAACTGAACTTTGTAGATTATGTTTTTTTTGGGTAGGTAAAATTTGTCAAGATTATTGAATTTTATTCGATGTATGGTTAGTCCAATAATTTTCCGAGACTGACTTTACTATCTCCCCTTTCTTTCTGTCGGAGTGGCGAGAACCCACTCAATCTCCAACTTGCTTATTTCTCGATCCGCGAAATCTTAATGTAATGTAAGTCGGTGAAATGCTACCTACCCTCAATACAACTAACCAGGGCAATTCCGACTAATCGGATGCTTAGTGGGATGCCACTCTCAAAAAAATTTCACCGGTGACAAATCGGATTCGTTCAAAGAGAATCCTTCAACGACAACTGCCATTCACCGAACACTTTTTTTACTCGGAAGTTTGTCCATCCATTGCAAAGGATCGAAAATCAATTTCCCGAAAGTCCGCCTATTTTCTAATCGCTTAAGTCTTTCGTGTGAGCGATATAATACAATATTTTCTATACGAGCAATTCAGCTAGGAAAAAAGCTACCTTATTACATACAATCCTCCTAAAATAATTGTAATAATTGTTAGATATTTATTTAACATGGATGTTAACGCCATGCATTTTATTTGTCTCATTTAACCAAACGAAGAATCGATTCATTTATTTATCATTTTTGGTGTTCATGAACGCATGATTAACCATTATTTTCGTACGATAAATTTACCTTAGCTGAAATGAGAGACGAATATACATAGATTGAACGACATAGATAATCGCACTAAAAAACGTAGATAAAATAACACGGAGGAAATAGTAATTAACTCGGTAAAATACTTATTCATATCATATCATATATATAATATCGTTAGAGCTCGATCAACAAAGACATTTCTCCATAAATATCACAAATTCTTGAAAATCAATTAGCCCATCACCATTAGCATCAAAAGACTTAATCATCCTCTTGCATTCTTCCAAATTACATCCACTACCCTCCAAACCAAATACACAAACAAGTACTCTCTGCAATTCACATGCATCAATAAACCCATCCTTATTTGCATCAAACACCTCAAAAGTTTCCTTAATCTCCTCGAAACTAGGCTCTTCGTCGTCGAACAACCCCACTAAATCATCTTCTGATGTACATAAACCACTACTACTTTGATTTCCATTATTACCCTCCAAGTAGAAGTTCTCCTTTCCGCCCAGCACTCTACTCACCGTCCAATCAATTTCCGACACGTGTAGTTCATCGTCAAGTGTTGTCTTATTGCAACATGCCACGTGTAGTACTCTCGTTTCATCGGAAGTGGCAGTGTGATCGGCGATGAATTGCGTTTTGCTCCATTTGACCGAGACGGAATTTTGAAGGGTTTGAAGGGTAAATTTGACTTTCGAGAAAAAATTCTCGGTTTCACCGTTGAGATATCTGAGTTGCAGAACTAGCAAATTTGAAATAATGCTTGCTAGAGTGAACTCCATTATATTTGCAATTAATTTTTTTTTTCTTTTTATTTTTTTCTTGTACTATAGTTAATTTGATTTGATTTGATTTAAGTTTTTGTTGGTATTTATAACTTATAAGTAGTGGAATTGGGTTATTTTATTTTAGATTAATAAATAATATTTAAATATGGGAGACGAGTGGTATGCGTGTGGATAGTGTCGTATAATAGCAACGAAATTTGGATTTTGATTCTGCAGAATTTCCGAGAAGTTTTTGAGGTGGAACTTGGAACATGCAATAATTGGTGTTATTGTTTGAAAATGGAATATGTAAAAGAGGTGGGAAAATTCTCAGAAATTTCTTTTACTTTATTTTATTTGTTTTCTTTTTTAAATAAATTAAAATAATGGATTTCCGTAGAACTCAGTTACTCAAGTCAACAACCATTATTTTAATTTATTCTAGTGCATGTATTGGACTAGGAAAAATTACACTTCTAGTCCCTCTATTTCACCATTGATCCCTCTATTCACAAAAACCAGATTTAGTCCCTTATATTTTAATAATGTAACATTTTTGATATTTTCGATCATCTTTCCGTTAGTAATAATGGAATCAAGATTCAAGCATGTGCCTATCACTTGACGGATCAAATTGGCAGAAATGACAAAAAATATTAAATTATTAAAATATGAGGGACCAAATGTGTTTATTTTTTATGAATATGTGGACCAAATGTGAAACTGGTGCAAATTTAAGGGATGGAAACTGTAATGTTATCCTATTTGACTACGAATTTTAACCTTTTTTTCCCTCGTTGTGGGTCGTTAATTTTTGGGGCAAATTACGGCAACCCTCTAAAGTATGCTCAAATTACAAATAAAACCCTTATGTTTTGGGCAATTACAGTTACCTCTCAAGTCTCAAATATATATCGTCTTATACGTCCACAGTTATGGTGTCAAATTTACCTACTGAATGAGGATTTTTTTCGTAAAACACCATAGTTAAGGGCGTGGTTGTAATCATCTAAACATAAGATTTTTTTTTTCGTAATTTGAACTTATTTCATGCCCATATTTTATGTTACTTTATCATGCAACAATATAGTTTAATGATTTTTTGAAGGAATTTGTTTATTTGTTGAACTTAATTAAGCCATTTGGAGACGAAATGTGATGACTTCATTGAAGTTACATCGCCGGCGGTTGCTTTTATTGCATTTAAAGTATAGTTGGGAAGAAAAATTGAGGAAAAAAAATAGTATATATTTATATTTTTAATAAGATTCGAGGAGACATTTTGTTCTGTAGCAAATAGTAACCTATCGTGTGAAAAATGCAATGAAATTTCCAATTGAGAGGAGTTGGTAAATTTAACATCGTAAGGATGAACCTGTAACACATTACATAGTTGAGGGATTGATTGTAATTATCAAAACAAGATGGTGATTTTTGTAATTTCGAAACAATTTGGAACTCTTCACAAGCAAATGGGCCATGCTCAACTATTTACGGCCCATAAAAAAAAGGCCCAGAAACACGTAATGCTGATGTAAGCACCGTTACGTCTTGTATTTACGAAAGTACATTTTTAATCTAATATTTATATCTTGAATTAGTTATAAAACTAACTTAATTTTATTTTATAAAAAAATATTATTAAAACTGGTTTCGTTACGACTTATGAAATGTCAATTTGTGGTTGAATAAATGGAGGAGGGATGCCCACAATTTTTTTTCCCACAAAAATGTGTCTACTAATTCTTTTAATTTTGGCCGACAAAAACCCACTAAGCACTTGGATAAAGTGTTTTGATTGTGCTTACATTTACTTAATTCTTGCATTGTACTATAACTAACTTATAAACCCAAGTAGCCAACTAGGGGTTTATAAAATTAAGTCTGTTAAGCACCCATTGAACTCGAAGATAAATAGTTCCTTTTATAATTCTATACTATTACAGAATGATCATATGAGAATGAGATTTAGTAATTACATATTATGTAAGTAACAAAGGAAAGAACAAATACAAATTGCAAAACGCCTATGAAGAAAATGCTTCAACTTTTTGTCTACGGCTCGCTTTCCAGTGTCACATTTTTTCTCGTCCAGAATTCATTGGCAGTGGCACCAACAGTCCAACAAAAAACACAATCACCGAAAACCTAAATCTTTGAAATGCCAAGACGCCTTCATTGTGGTGGTACGAGCAGAAGAAAGAGAGAGAGAGGAGAAAAGGTTGTAAAGTAGAGTTTGGGAGAAAGGCGGAGTCTGAATACCTCAATTGGGTGGTGAGGATCAATGTATAGCGAACCAACGGTCAAGATTCGGGATCGAGAGAGCTCTCAAATCGATCATTTGGGCTTTTTGTGTTTCCGGGCTTTGAGTGTAGGGCGGCCTCAGAGGAAAAATGGTTTAATGAGCTGGATTTCACTACTCCATTTGGGCAAAAAAAATCCAACAAAGATTAAGCTAACTCAGATTAAAACAGACAGTAGAAACAAGTTTTCCAAGAAAAGAATGTCTGAAAATTGACATTGGAAAAGAAAAAATAAAGAGGGATGTAATAAGTAATTTGATATAATTGGACACTAAGCATTGACTTAATCCATTTCCTTGGAAGCTAAGTGCTCCACTAAACTAATTACTCATGCATGATTAAGCGACAAAACAAAGTGCGGTTTAATTTGTGCATTGAACTGGATATTTAGTTTAACCACAACCATCCAATTTTGGAATCCTCCTAAACTCCCACATTGGGTTGGGTGCCCCAAAAAGCAGACACATTCTTTATTTTAATTTTTTTTTTCCTTTAAAAAAATAAAAGTAAAATTAAAAAATTAACAAGTAATTAGGTACCCCTCCATAACAAGATTGTTTTAATGTTGTGTTACACTAATCCAAGAATTAGAAAGTGTGTCTACATAATCTTTATGTATAAATAGAGCAACAAGGTTTGCAATATAAGGCATTAAACACACACACACACACACACACTAAACACATAGAGGAAATGGCAGCCAATGGGGTTCAACTGTTTGTTACTATAATAGCTTTCTCTCTCATCTTCTCTTCATTTGATCTCCCAATTTCAAGTAAAATATGCTTCTAACTACTCTTTCCCTAATTGTCTTAGTTTAAGAATGTCATGTTTTAATTTCAACATTTTTAAATTAATTATCATCTTTTATATATGTTTATTGTCATTGTTATTACAGGAGCTTTCCAAGCTATTTCTTCATCAGAGGTGAATTAATTTTAACCCGAAAAAATTCATATTATTTTTTTATTTTATTTTTAATTTCTTGGATCAAATTTTTATATTTTCTTGATTAATGGAGACAGGTGGAAGATCATGAGTTTGTATTTCAGAGAAGAATGGAGTTTGAAATCAACAGAGACTACCCTGGATCCGGAGCGAATAACCGTCACACCCCGAATCCACCGGTTAAAGATTAATTCAGAATTGCAGCTAATTATTAATTAATATGAATAGTGTTCAATTCTTATGTATGTATAGCACATTGTAGTATATCAGAAAACCTCGTATTGCACCTTTCGAAATCGACAACAAGGTTCGATAGAGTATTTCAGTTCGATGGGCACGAAAATTTATTAAGGATGATATTCCGATGTGGGAAAAAATTAAAATCATCAAGAACTGGATCTAGTTTTCAGCTTCTTAGCATGCAGTTCTTCATTTTGTTTATACATTTCGATGAACTCTTTGACGATCGGATTAAACGCTTACGGTACGTTACGACTAATATAATCACGCAAGATGATTTCGGAGATCGAAAGTCAGGAAAGGGATGATCAGGGAATCTAATTAATTGGAAAGATATTTTAATTTAAATTCAGACAAATTAAACAATTAAAATGAAAATTGTCTTAACGTAAACTATCCATTGAAGATTGGATAAAAAAAAAGAAAAAAAAAAAAAAAAAACCAGAAAATGGTGTGTTTTGAGTGGATGTGAGGTGTCAGCCACTTGAAATATCAGCACAAATTAATACCTGAAAATCATCATTATTCACCTTGAACACCCTTCATTCAGAAAAAAAAATTAATAATAAATAATAATAATAATAATAATAAGTGTCGTATTGCTGACGTCACTTTCAGAATGGCAATTATTATTCGAAATATATATTTATATATATATGGAAGAATTTAATTGTTTGGGATAAATATAAAATGAATGTATGGTGGGATGGTGACAAGTTCCTTTTTGCTTCACTACTTTAAATAAGCTGATTCCTGAGCCCATGTGTATATATTATTCTCATCCTTGTTATTTTTTCTTGCTTTTACATAATAATAATTATAATATTAATATTAATAAATAATAAATAATAATAATTGATGGGAGGCAACTTTAATTGTTTTTTAGGTCATGACTTTGTGCATCATTCTGGAATCTCCTTTTCTACGTGTTTTCGAATATAATAAAGTAATAAATCAACTTCAAGTACACCAGCTGGTTATTAATGGAAAAAACAAACTATTTCACATTTAATATTTCATACATTTTTATTTAGAGACAATTTAGATATTTTTTAGTTCTTTTTAAGGATTTTATTACGGGCTGTTAGTTTCAGGAAATAAACATCACCACGCAAATAAAATAACTTCTTTTTCACTTTTGATGGGGTTCGTCTAACAAAGCCCATATAAATAGGCCCTAATTCGACGAGGCCCGATCGACGCTCCTAATCCTAATTAATTAAGTAAATCAAAGTTCTTAAACCATTAGCATTGCTAATACTCATTTTATATATCTACTAAAAAGTTCATAATTTCAGAAAAGATTTAGGTGGGAGAAAGGTGGCTAATTTGATTGGTTCTTTTCAACTTTGCATCTAATGATCGAAAATCGTTGGATCTTGATTCCACGATCGAAACTTTTTTTTGCCCGAAACCCTAAAAATCTAAAAGAGTGATCCGATTTTAGATGACTTTAAGGATTTCTTGTTTGCCATTGTGCCTATCTTTATTTCTTTCTCATATAATCTCTTTTCTTCTTTATCTTCTTTCTACATGTGAAAAATCAAATTTTATCGCATCGCTTAATTTGTAGGTTACTTTGTAGGTTACTGCACGAATGCAGAGTTTACGTAGTGCACCTATATGGCTACAAGTTCCTTTATTAATTAAAAAAAAAACACCATAAAATAATTTGAAAATTAAATGTCACCATCTTTTTTTTTCGTAGATTGCTTTTGAAGAGTGGAAAAAAGGAGATTCCATTACACACAATAAATTCCAATATATATATAATTCATTGTACATCTTACATTTATCAACACTTATCTTACTACAAAAAGTACTTGTTTATCACAAAATATACTTGCTTGTCCTAATATCTAACCCTTTAGATTCTTTGATTCCTTCCATCCCTACAACAAGAAAACAAAAAGAAACCAGCCAATCAATCCACACCTCCTTAGAAATAAAAAAAAAATTCTGTTTTATTAAAATAAAACATTAAAAATCGAAAATTTGGACCAAGAAAATGAATACTAGTTTTCTCATCAATTTCAATCCTTTAGAAAAAAAATCCTCCCACTAAAACCTCATCATTAACTTTTTTTTCCAGCTAGGGTACTTGAAAAGTTGCACCCATTATAGATCATGGTGGGGACTCCCTTATTCATGTGTGTGTGTGTGTGTGTGTGTGTGTGTGTGAGAGAGAGAGAGAGAGAGAGAGAGAGAGAGAGAGAGAGAGAGAGAGAGAGAGAGAGAGAGAGAGCATACACTTAGCTTCTTTTCTCTCCTTTTGAGAATCAAAATTGAAGAGTGTGGCTTTCCCTGTTTTTTGCTGCATTAGAGATTCTCTCCACACCTTATTACAAGTCAAAGAAGAAAGAGAAAAAAAAATAAAAAATAAAAAAGAGGAAAAAGAAAAAAAAGAAAGTTTGGTAAGAAAATGAGAAAAAGAAAATGCACAGCTCACAGAATATATTCCCTCCAACATAACACAACCCCACTTATGTTTCCAGATATGGTGTGTGTGAGATCATAGACAACAACACCCTTTCAAACTCCCAACTATATATACATTTACATTCTCAACCATAATTATTATTTATATATTCAAAAAAATAAAAATAAAAAACAATTCTTTCAAATGATCAAAACTAAAGAAATGCGATTAGTTCTATCAAGTGATGCAAAACCAAGACTCAAATGGACTACAGAGCTTCATCACCGATTCATCGAAGCTGTCGAAAAACTCGGGGGTCCAGATAGTTGAGTATATTACCTTTTTTTTTTTTTTTAATTTAAATTCCATTTTAATGCAATATTATCGGGTTGTGAAATATATTGCTAATCAAAATTAAGTGTATTTTTTGTGATAAATACAGAGGCTACACCGAAATCCTTAATGAGGATAATGAGCATTCACGGGCTCACCTTGTACCACCTCAAGAGCCATTTACAGGCAACTTTTTTGTTCTTTTCTGTTGTTCGGTTTTTAATTTCGACGGGTTCTTGAATATTTAAATATAAAATTCGCTGCAGAAATACAGGATGGGCAAGAATCAACATTCTCAAACATACCAACAAAGCAAACAAGAAGGTAAATAAGCAACAACTTTATTTTTCGTACGAAAAAAATTACGAGTTCTAATCGATACCTTTTTTTTTCCTTCCAATCAGAGTGCGAGGAAAAACAGAGGAATGTCTTCACCAGCAAGATCTGCGATGGAGCAAAAGAGCAGATTAACGAGTAATTAATACTTTATAATCTATAGTTACGATAATTTCGAATAGTTTAAAACGAAATCTTACCAAGGGTTGTGCTTTATCAGAAGTGTGGAGATAACTCAGGCTTTGCAAATGCAAATGGAGGCGCAGAGGAAACTTCACGAACAAATCGAGGTTTATATATATTGATATGAAAAAACGTATTCAATACTTCGATACTCAAAAAACGGATAATAATGTATATATTTTCAGGTGCAAAGACATTTGCAACTAAGAATCGAAGCACAAGGGAAGTACTTACAATCGGTGTTGAGAAAAGCACAAGAGACTCTCTCCGAGTACAGTTCTTGCTCCATCGAAGTGGAACACGCGAAAGCTCAACTTTCTCAGTTAATGTCGATGGTTGACTCGGGATGTACGAGTTCGTCTTTCTCGATTTTGACACAGAGCGATGGATCGGTTTTGGAAAAGGACGAAAGAGATAAACTCTTAGTGCATGATTCGCTCGAGAGTTCTCTAACATCATCGGAGAGCTCATGGAAGAAGAATAAAGAAACTCGAAGAAAGCATAGAAATGGAAAAATTACCAAAGAAAAAGGAAATTCTATTGCACTCCCACTTATGGAAATGCATTCTAGCAAAAGGGTTCAATTATTGGAGAAGATCGATTTGAATTCCGATACAATGAATGAGTTTGATCAAGGTCGGAAAGTGATTGATTTGAACATTAACGGGGTCGAATTCTTCAATGGGAACTTCTAGCTTATAAAATTGTACTAATAGGGATTGTGGATCATCTGTAATTTTGAAATATACTAGCAAAAAGATTTAATTTTTATTCTAGTTCTACTACTTTTAGGCCTCGTTTGATCGGTAATAATATAAGACGATCGAACGAGGCATATTCAATCGACTAAATTAATCGAGAACTGATTCGAACTCTGTATGAACGAACAGAAGCAAAAACCTAAAATAACAGTTCTAGAACAAAGAGTCTATTCCCTCTGTTACTTCATGATGATTTGAAAAATAACCAGCTGAATGATTCACTCGCGCCGGCGGCGCCGGCGGCGGCGGAGGAGGAGCTCTTCCGCCGTCGTGCACATCAACGGGGATCTCGTATCTGCAAACAGGGCACGAACCGTCAATTTTCAACCATTTATCGATACAGTCCACGTGGAATCTATGCTTGCACGGCATCTCTTTACAGCTGTCACCGGCGACCCATTCTCCCAAGCAAACAGAGCACTTTTCGCTACAATTTACACCGCCGACGATTTCTGTAACCGGAAGGGCATCAATTGAAGCTTTCGAGGCGGATTTTCGTCGATTTTTTCCGGAGAAGTACTCTTCGAGTGACGAGAAGTCGATAAGGCTTCCCTCCATCACAAATCCACGACGGCGACAGCGACGGCGACGGGAGCCGATTGGAGGAAGAGAGTTGCGGAAAAAAGGGATCGGATTTTGATTAAAGATGGGATTTTTGGAATTGAAGCTGGAGTGTGAAACGACAGCGTTTCCCGAAGAGGGGAAGGGGGCTGGGAATTAATTTAAATAGAAAAGAGTGGGCCAAAAAAGGAATTGAAGAGTGAAGATTGCTCTGAATAAGAAATATCAAATGGGCTAAAATTGGAAATATTGGATTAAATGGACTTGGTAATAAAACATGTAATGAATATTTGTTTTTAATAAATTAGATAATTTATACCTATAATTATTTTAATATTACACTAGAAAATAAAATGATTCCTAAGATAATTATTTACAAAAAAAGTGATCCACATTGTACATATTTAATTGAAATATGTATTTTGAATTGAATAGGTATGAAAAAAAGATGAAAGAATTCACTACGAAACGGAATTTCGAATTCCCCAATTATTTAAAAAACAACTAAAAACTAATAATACAAAGTTAAACACATGTATAATAATTAAAAAAATATGTAACGCAATAAAATTCATCATAAATTAACATATAGAACACAAAGAACAAAATGAAGTAGTAGTAGATTATCTAAAATATTTTTTTTATTTAAATTTACGGCTACTCTCTGCGGTAAGTTCAAATTACGAAAAGTTTCTTAAGTTTAGTATAAAAACCTCATCAACTACGTACTGTCTTACGGAAAAAAACCCCTTATTCAGTAGGTAAATTTAACACCGTAAGAGAGTGAACGTTTAAGACAATACATAATTGATGGGTGTTTTGTAATTACCCAAACATGAGGTGATTTTGTGTAATTTGAGCATAATTCAGGGGTGTGGCCGTAATTTTCCCAAATTTAAAAGAAAAGGTTGAGAGAGAAACAGCCCCTCATCCTGATGAGTGAGGTAAGATTCGAGAACAACGTCATTATTATTAATATTTTATTATTTATTTATTATTATTAATAGGCAAAAGTAGCTGAAAGCAAAACGCCTAAATATGAACAGATACTTGTAAATTATCATCAAATTGACCTTCATTGTTTGCTTGGTTGAGCTACAAATTCGCGATATTCTTCTTTTAGGTACTCTCTTTTTCTCGATTCGTATTTATATTTTTATTTATTTATTTATTTAATTTGAATTCATTTCTTCCTGATTACGTAGCGACTTTCGCTTTGGCTTCCTCCGATATAAGAAATTCTCTGATCTCGCTGCATATTTCAGCGCGATCGGTTAATTTCTTTCATTTTTTGTTTTTCTTAAACATACAAGTGTAGCTTTTTTTTTGGGGGAAAAAAATAGGTCAAACTCATTATTTTATGCGTTTTTTTTTGTAATTAATTTCATAAAAAAAAAAAAATCGGCTTTTGCAGATTAAGAGCAAACGATGATTTACTAGATTGTAATTTTAGGTCTAAAGATAAGAACTTTGTGAATAACAGGAAAGGGGGTTTTTTTAGGTTGTAAAATTTTTAATTGATTTTGTGGCGTTTCTGTTTAGGAATTGCTGTGGTTGTTATTGATTGAGGTGTTATTGGTGAGGAAGAAGGGTTGTAAATGGGTGAGCATTTGGTAGTGAATGTGGACCAGCTGGCAAAGGCTGAGGGAGTTGGGCCTAGCCAACCAGTTCCTCAGGCTATGGGATGTGGGCCCTCGGGAAAGAATCCCGAATTAGTTGCTTCGTCGTCAGCACCGCCGAAAGATGATAAGGCGGCGGTGGCGGATGATGATGATGACGTGGATGAGGAGGCACCTCTGATAGGTATGGGGGAGTGCCGAATTTGTCAAGAGGAGGATTCTTTCAACAATTTGGAGAGCCCTTGTGCTTGCAGTGGGAGTCTTAAGGTAAATATTTTAACTATTTTTAAAAGAATTTTCGTCGTTTTCATTTGCATTGTTCAACAACTCTCTTTGCCTGAAAATGGGTTGGTTGCATTCTGCGTAATCGGAATAGTGTATGGATTAGAATTTGTACTCTTCTTTTTGGTGATTTGGAATTCGCATTTGTTCATCCAAACTCCAAGATAAATCAAGGGCATATGCTTATGCAATCGAAATGGTATGATTTTTGCGAATTGGAACTAAGAAAATAAGGGGTTTGTGAAAACTAATAGCCTCGGAGTTATGTTAACTTAATAATTGTGTAGGTTTTCAATGACATTTCGTTTTAGCTATCCTTAATTTCACGGGCTTTATGGGGTAATTGTTTCTTGTTTTATATATTTCCTCGCCGTTACCCCTCTTTCAGTCAGAGTCTTATCCATGTGATGGTTGATGTTTTGGTTTTGTCATTTTTGGTCCTGTATTCATATGTCGAATCTTTTCCTTTACCCTAGTTTTATCGAAACCTATTTATTTGCAGTATGCTCACCGAAAATGTGTTCAGCACTGGTGCAATGAGAAGGGGGATACTACTTGTGAGATCTGCCATCGGGTATTTTCTATTGCTCCTCTTACCTTTGTCAAGAAACTGATGATTCAAAAATATTTATGCTGCTAAATTACAATGATGCCACATTCTTCATTTTGATGTGCAGCAATATCAATCAGGCTATACTGCGCCTCCACGACCTCCATCCGACGAGACCACCATTGACATTGGGTTAGTACTTTTTGAAGTTGTGATTTTTTACGGGAAAAAAGATCTATGAAAATCACTTTGGCTCGATTGACATTAATTTGGGTTATGTTTATTCAGGGGAGTATGGCAAATTTCAGGCAACCCACTCGATATGCACGATCCTAGGCTTGTAGCACTTGCTGAGGCTGAACGCCAGTTGTTCGAAGCTGACTATGATGATTATAACGGTACAAATAGCAGCGGCACTGCCTTTTGCCGTTCAGCTGCTCTAATTGTAAGCCCTCTTAACTACTTGCAATTCAATTTTTGTGAGTTAAGGGCCTTGTTTGGTAATTCTGACGGGATCGATTAAGATTTGATTGAACTGCTCTCTGGATTTGGCAGTTGATGGCTCTTTTGCTACTGAGACATGCTCTGTCCATCACTGGTGATGGAGATGGAGACGGAGATGAAGATGCTTCCACTTTCTTCTCCGTAAGTATATATTTTTCATAGTGTGTGTATATATATATACATATGTATTTGTTACTGAACGAGTACTTAACTTTGATGAATGCAGCTATTCTTGCTTCGAGCTGTTGGCTTTCTTTTGCCATGCTATATAATGATCTGGGCCATCAGTATCTTGCAACAACGTAGGCAAAGACAGGTTAAATACTTCTTACAACACCAATGAAAACACTATTTTTATTTATTTTTTTTATTTTTTTTTAAACTAGAATTCTGAATTCTTTCTAGTTTCATATATATAAAATGTTTTGTAATTTGGTGTTTGCAGGAGGCAGCAGCACTAGCAGCAACTCGATTTGCGATAGTGGTACAAGCGGCACAAAGAAGAGGACTCATCGTAGCTTCATCTGCACCTGCAGCCACTCCTCAACCCGAACATGTTTGATATTTTTTTTATTTAATAATAATAATAATAGTTTCTGCATTGGCCATATCTTGTGCCTGGTGCATTGCATTGCACCACTATTTTAATGTTATTACAGTTGAGTTTTCCGTTTGATTTCGTTGTTAAATGTGTATATGAATGTTTGTCCGGTGACATCTTTCAACGGCCGAAACTGTACTCTAGTTTTATGTATTTGTAATTTATGTATAACCACCATATATTACTAGTTGTCGGTTCGCTTTCATCTTTCTTTTAAACATTTTGATAAAATTCGGTGTGTGTGTGTGCGCGACAAATGATGAAATATACGAGCACAAGCACACGTTTTCACACTGACTTATTTTTATAAATTTGGGAAGTAAATAATTTGAACAAACAGTGACTGAATTATTAATTGCTGTCATTTGGATTCAAGTATGTGAAAATGAGCAGTTGTATATAAAGCCCACAGCAATTGATGTCATCCAATAAATAATCTTGTATTAATTTGAATAAATCAAACCAAAGAAAAGAAAGACTGAAAGAGTTGATCTTAAGAAGCAAATAAATTAATAAGCAAATAAAAACTATCAGCAGAGACTAATAATAGTAGGAGTACTCACAGAGGAGTATTTCTCCATTTCAATGCCAATCGAAATTCCAACCCCGGTAATTTAAAGTCCAACGAAGTTGACGGACGCCATCCTTCTCGAATGTCCACTCTCGTCTCGATGCTTACTTCCTCCAAACCTCGAAACAACTCGTCTTCGTTTCCACTTTCTCTCTCCATTAGAAACTTCCATAACCTCGCCGATTTTATCTTGTATCCGTAAATGTTTCTTGGACGACAAATAAAAAACATAACAATTACAAGATCAGACCCCATCCTCAAGCTCTCCACAATAGGTCTATTATGAACATTCTCTCGTACCATAACGTTTCCGTTTATCCTGCAGTATTGATCGACTGCCAGAGAAATTTCGGAGTGGCTTAGTGAATTGAGCAGTTCATTTAGCTTGAGGAGCCACGAAGAACCCTGATAGACTAGGTATATCTCTGACTTCCACTTGCTGGAAGTTGCTGCAAAAGAGATGGATGGGACTTTGAGCCCGTGATATTCAAAATACAGTATGTTTGGGGCATTAATAAATAGCTTGATTTCTTCGATTCCGAAGCAATTCGATATAGTCAAGCGTTTAAGACATGGGAATATAGTCGACGACAAGCGGTCCAATGACGATGGTCTCACGTTGCTTATAAATAAAGAATGGAGATTACGAAAATCGTCTCCTGTGTGGTACGAAATATTACTATAACGAAGTTCGATGGTCTCGAGAGATGGTGGGTGGATTTCAAAGCTACAATACTGGTCAACCTCTCTCTCACACAGCTGCAAAGACAAGTACTTGAGATTGTGAAGATGATTCAAATTAACTGTGCCTACCCTCCGACAATCCCCTTGGACATTTAGGGTTTCGAGTAAAGGAGAACCTAGGATTATCTTCTGCAAAATCTCATCTTCGATGTAGACTTTTTGGAGACAAAGTGATCTTAAATGCTTCCACGGTAGTATCCTCTCGATAGTCTTTCTGTCGAACTCGAAGTTTTCCAAATGCAAATCTTGTAGTGATTCGGCTCCAAAGACTACGGGGGGCAGTTTAAGAGGCGGTTTACGATATGCATGATGTGTGTGACTCATATAGACAGAAAGCCGGAACTTCTTCACACCTATAACCGTGAGTAACGGGACCCACTTTTTAAGGTAAAAAACCGATGTGTGATCCGGATAGACTTGAGATATTGAAAGGTGAAATTCCGACAAGGACAGCCTCTCGTCATGCTGTCGACGTAAGATATTGTCCACAACGGAGAGAAATTGAAGTTTGTTTCCTCTGAAGTTGTTGTATGATAAATCAAGATTGGTGCGGATACACCAATTATAACGCCACGATTTAGACAAGACAGATATTCGGACAGCCTCTTTTTGGGAAAGGAAATTCAGTATTTGCTGTAAGATGTCTCGTGGCAACTCGGATATCCTGTCCATGGAGTCTCTGGCTGAATGTCGAAAATCTTCTGCCATCAAAAACAATTTTTTTTTTTTTTAGTATAACAAAAAGAAAGCCATGATAATTATTCAGATAGGTTCACAAATCATCAATTTAAACAATATTAGATAAATTCCACAACATATATTGGCATGATAGATTTGCAATCATTGTTGTGATGGAACATGAAAACAAAAACTGGGTTTTTGTAAAAAAATAAAAATTTCTTACAAAAATACATTGATTCAAGCAATAAAAACTTACACGAAGATAAAAAAAAAAAAAAAAAACTAATTATTACGATGGAGATCGAATTTAAAAAAGAGAAGAAAGCAGTAAGAATTTTCTAACCTTAAACGACTAGGAGAGAAATATTTCAACCCTAATTGAATTTGTCGATTTAATCAGAAAACCCCCTTTTTATAGTACTCGTATATTTCGATTAGGTTATAACTTACTTGCAAGAACTATTAGGTAGAAATAGACACGTACTTTGATTTTCTTTTCTTGTAACCTATTTCCCTTCTTTTAGGATTCTTATTCTATATATATTTCAGGATTCTTATTAATTTTGAACGAATTTTTTTACTAATTTTCTTTATACTATTATTTAACTGTATTTATTTTACTTTTTTTTTTTTTTTTTTAATATTTCATCAATTTTTACTTTTTAGTCGAGCTCGAGTTCGAACTGAGTTTCATATCTAATCGAACAAAAACAAGTGTTCTTTACGTTAACAACACGAGTTTCAACACTAACCGAATCAACTATACAAATTTATTGCTATGATTAAACCGACTAATTCGACTCATAAAACACGAACCAGATATACACATTTACTACCGATCAATCCCACTAATTCGAAATCAGAAAACACGAATTGACCATACACGTTTAGTGCTGATTAATTCAACGTACTCGGAAAACACTGACGAACTTTGACTATACAGAGTTACGCTTCCTCTTGTTTCGAACAGGGAAGAACAGAGTATCAACGTAATGATCCAACACATCTCCAAAAACCGCAGTTTGATCAGAACCCTAAAACTCACTAAAACCTTATTTTCGACGACAAACATCGGCCGAAAAAAGCAAATATTTTTCCGCACATTCACAAAACTTATCAAATCATCCCAACAATTGTTGTTCCTCCTAATCCAGAATTTTAACCACCGTCTGATCTTCACCATTACTATAACAACACAAACATCCCTTAAAAAATGTCAAGAAAATCGGTTTATTATCCACCACGTTGGCTGACTGCTGCAGAATTTTCAGCTCGTCGTCTTTCGGATCAAAGTAAAAAATTCCTCTAACAACTTTCTTGTCAACCTCCTTAATGCAATATATAGCCCCATCAAATAGATCCCTGATTTTGATGCTGCTTTTTAATGGCAAAAATTACCTTTTATGGAATCTTTATTCTTCTTAAAAAACACTTTCACAATTTTTTTTAGTGTCACCACCACGAGGTTAATTTTTATCTTTAAAAAATAACATAAAGAAATGTCATGTCTGCAAGGGTAGAATTGGCATTTTTCGGATAAATTTTACGTGGAATAAAAAGGATTCCTTGAAAAATCACACGGTAACGGTCGGTGTAAGACATAAACAAGAATTAGGGGGATTTTGATAATTAGTTATAGGTGAGGGTGGTTTTCGTACTTTAGCTTAAATTCAGGGAGATTTTTGTAATTTACGATCTTAGAAAATGGTTAATTTTGGTTGACCCGTTTCGCCTCTCAATTTATCAATTTAACTTATATCCTCTTCGTACACATCATCATCACAATAATAAAATAAAATTAAAAATTGTTTAACTAATTTACAAAAAATCAAGTAAAATAACAAAAAATCGAATACTTGTATACATATATTATTAGCAGTTAAGAAATAGTTACTAAAACCCATAATTCAAATTATCGACAGCCCTATATTTCCCCCCCTTCTCTGTAAAACCCTTTTTGAAAACCCAAATCAAAATCCTGCAAACCGAATTTCAATTTCTCTGCGATTGAGTTTCTCTCTAAAACCCTCCCTATTGAGAATCTCTGCAAAACTCCATGGACGACAGAATATCTTACCTGCCGGGAGATGTGTTGCGGGTCATTCTATACTTCTTGCCGCAGAAAGAGGCTGCGAGAACATCCGTACTATCGACGGCATGGCGCAACTTGTGGATTCGTCGGAAAAATCTTGAGTTCTTCGAATCCAAATTCAAACGTTCAAAAGAGGAATTTCGACATGTAATTGACGATTCATTACGGCGATACCACGATTCAGCTATGTATTTGGAGGAATTTACCCTTTCGACAGCGTTGGATGACGAAACGCTGCAACATCTTCAGACATTCTGGATACCGAGGATCGAACAGCTGGGTGGTAAAAAAATTTCTTTAATTTTCGAATCACAAGATGCAGATATGAATATTCCGTACGTGTTATTCGAGATTGTGCAATTGTACAGTCTGCGTTTGGAAAAATTTACCGACTCGCACTTGCAAGGTCTAAATTTAGTCGCGTGCGTTAACCTGAGGATGATAGCATTGGTAGATGTCGATGTTACGAACAAAGATTTAGAGAACATAGCTAATAGCTGTCCACTCCTCGAAAACGTCACCGTACAACATTGTCGGATGGTATCCAGGTTAAATTTCGACGTTCTACACCATCTCAAAACTTTATGTTTTGAGAACTACGAGTTCCATGAACAACAAAGCTTCGAAGTATATGTTTGGAATCTTGAAACCGCCGTCATCGGATCGAACATATGTGATATTTTCAAGATGGGAGGATCTTTATTACACATGACAGAGTTGTCGCTCAATCATGTGATGGAAGGCTTGAGAAATTTGTCCAATTGTTATTTCCCGTGTTTGCATTTTTTACGAATTACCAACTGTCACTGTTTGAGTGGAGTGGATACAGCAGTTAATGCACCGAACTTGGTGCTTTTCGAATACAAAGGACAATTTGTCCCCAAGATAAAGTTTGCACAAATAATTAATCAGTGGGACTCAAAAATTCAGTTGCTAAAGACAAGTAGTTCTGGTGAGTGGTTGCCAAAGTTGGCAGAGTTGCTTCAATGTTTGGAAGGATCTAATGTGTACTTGATAATGGATCACAATGACATTAGGAAGGAACACATTTTTGAACGAACAAGGGCTTCTAATAAGCAGGTTATTGAGAGTTTGTCTGTGCGTTGCGATTTATCTGTTGCATCCTCACTTTTTCTTTCGGTGTTTTTGGTATGCAAACCAAAAATACTATATTACATCGGTGATGACAGAGTTACATCCGTAGCGTATTTGTGGGGCATTCTAAAAGAAGAGGGGAATATAAAGCACGAAAGCCTTCCACGGATTCTCGAATTTCAAGAAATTCGAGAATTGCTCTTAGAAGAATTGGAGGAGGCCAATTTTCAAATCAAGAAGAAATGGAACCGCGAAAAGGATTGGCATTCATGTCCTCTTTTCGAGCATCTTATGAGTTATAAACTTAGTCACTTTCGCTTCATTTTGAAGTGGAAAGAAACAGTGAGTCCCCCGATAACAAAATAATGTTCCTTTTAATTCTCTGTTTTGGCTTGCTTAAATGAACTTTTTGTATTTTTTTTTTATTGTCTGTCTTTTTGGGGAAAAACAGGTTGCTTGGAAGCATTCTATGGAAGATTCTCATGGAGAGAAAAAGTGGAAACGGGCATGATGAGCTCACACAGTTGTTTCGAGATTTGGAGGAAGTAAGCTTCGAGATGAAAGTGGACGATCGAGAAGAATGGCGTCCGACTTTATTCTAAATTGTCGACTTTTACAATTTCGATTTGTATTGAAATGGAGAAATACTCCTCTGTGAGTACTGCTATTAGTCTAAGCTGATAGTTTTTCTTTGCTTATTAATTTTCTTTGCTTCTTAAGCTCAACTCTTTCAGTCTTTCTTTCCGTTAGTTTGTACTCGAGCTTGACATCGAGCCAAGTTTCATAGTTAATCGAACAGAAACATGTGTTCAAGTTTTAGTTCCTTACGTTAACAAACTGAGCTCGCACGAGTTTTTAACAAATAATCTCGAATTGATCGAATATCGAGTAAGGAAGATTGAGTGATTCAAAAAGGCAGAACAAATGATAGAAATGTGTGGTAAAACAAATCAAAGAAAGATGCTTAGTTAGCTTCTTGAGGGTTTTGTTCCAATCACCTTTATTCATCCTATATTCAGATTCCTTTTCTATAACAGCCTATATATATATATATATATATATATATATATATATATATATATATATATATATATATATATATATATATATATATATATATATATATGATTGAAAGTGAATCAGAAACTCTTCGAAAGTGAATCAGAAACTCTTCCATGAATACTCTGCCCTACAAAATTCTGCAAGAATTTTATCTACAGGAATGGAACACACACCCATCTTCTTTGTACTTAAAACACACACACACACACACACACACACACACACACACACACACACACACACAAAACCATGGTTATGTGCACTAATAGAGCACTTGTGTTGCTCGTTTGTGTGGGGCTACTATCATCGATTCAATTACCATGTGAAGTTCACGGCTCGAAAAGTGCAGTCTTGAAGAATCACGACGGCATGCTCAAGAAAGTCGATGCAAACATCCTCAATACAGACAAAAAGAAACCAGCAGCACATGCAAGCAAGAAACTCGATACAAATAATTACCAATCGAGCAAGAGGAAAGTACAAAGAGGGTCCGATCCGATCCACAACAGGACTTGATTTCTGTAAGAGTGTGTTCGTTTCCGTTTCTGTCTTTTTTTCATTAGTCCCATTTTCGATATTGTAAATACGAAGCCGTAACTTGTGAGAACATATGCATACTATGAACTTATGCTTCTAGCTATACCAGTTACAAAATCGAATCCATTACTGCATAGCCGATGTTTAATGTTCCTCTTACAGTAGCAAAATCGAAGATTCTCCTCATGTCTGAAATGGCAGACAGATTCTTTATCCTGATTCCTTGTACTACATACATGCATGATTGATTATCTACTTTAACTTATATTTTATATCCATGCTTTTAACCTACGCAAAGTCGCAAAATGAAATACGAACGGATCGAAAAAACAACAGCAATTTTTATTAATGGGGAATCGGTAAATAGTGCCTAGTGGCACCACTTTTCATGTACAAGAACTACAAAGCATAATTAGACGAAAAACTTCGGATTTTAATTCTACTTAAAAGAAACACGAACGACGAACGAACGGATAATCATGATAAACACTTACGCTTCCTCTTGGGCCTCGTGTTTTCGATAGGGAAGAAAAGAGTCTCCAAGTAAGGAACCATTGCATAGCCAAAGACCGCTTTGTCGTCATAATCTTCAAACCTCTTCTCCGAAATGTTGTAGATCATTAACCGAGTAGTGTTCGAACGTATTACAACCTTATTTTCCGCTACAAACTCCACGTCAAACAACTCGATCACCGTATCCACGTTCTCGATAGTAACCAACTCCACCCAACAATTATTCTTCTCCCTTATCCAAATTCGAACAACCGTCTCGTTTTCTCCGTTACAATACACGGACAAACACCCCTTCAGACAAGCCAAGAAAATCGGCCTGTTTTCCCCAACACCCTTCGGCTTATCCAAAATCTTGAAATTATCGTCGCCCGAATCAAAATACACAATTTTTCTAGCATCTCCTTCCCTATAAACCCAATAGATAGACCCGTTTACGTAGAGACCTGATTCGTTTCCTAATCGGCCCGTGCCCGGAAAACCCTTCTTCTTCTTCGTCCAGATTTTGTTCTTACACGAATACACGGCGTAGTCTCTCATAGACATGGATGAAATAACGACAATCTTAAAATCTTCCGAAACTGAATCGTAACAAACACCGTAACTCTTCGGGTGAGAATTGAATCTGTAAGGGAACCAAATCATCGTCTTCGCCCGAGTCGAAGGGTTCCACAAAACGTATGTGCTGTCGGAATATTCCGTCAAGAGCAGCACGCCGGCGGAAAAGGAGACGACGGTGTCCCAGCCGTAAGGGCATTCTCGTAAATCGTGCAGGATTTGGAATTTCCCGTCCTCGAATTTAACCACGGAAAACCCGGAGCTCCACTGCTTCGATTTCCATAGAAAGAGGTGGTTGTCTTGCTGGGAGGATTGGTGCAGATGTTTTTTTCGGACAAATGCTGGATCTGAAATCATGGATTTCCATGATTTGGAAACGGCTTTGAATCTGAGCAGAGATTTGACGGGTAATTTGGGAAGGATGGTTTCGATGATGTCATCTGGAAGAAGAACTTGTTTGTTGTGCACACACATGGATTTTGGAAAGCTTGCAGATGGCGGTGGCGATGGCGACGGCGGCGGTGATTTCTATGGGGGTTTGTAGTGTGAGTTTTTGCAGAGTGCTCAGAGCATATTTTTGCCTAGGTTTTGAGAAAATTTATTTGTGGGTGGTCCTTTGAGTTATTTCATTTCAGAATTTAGTCCTGTAATTTGGTGTGTTTATACAAAATTGGATACAATGGCCACATTAGTTTTTCGGGTAAGTTACGGTCACCCCTGAGGTAAGGTTAAATTACGAAAAAATCTTTTATATTTGGTAATTATGAATCTTCTTACACGTTCACTCTTGCGGTATCAAATTTATTGGAATCTTCTAGAGTATGTGTAATATTCTTCAGTTTGTACCCATTTTACCCTATTCGAGCTCCACATTTTTAAACAAGATGATCATACGATGTGTTTTTGCCTATCAAATATCAGATTGTGGTTCATCAGAAACTTTATTTTTGTACAAAATAAATACAAACTAGAAAACATTCCACATAATCTAAAAGATTATGTTGAATTTGACACCATAAGGATAGACGTGTAAGAAGATTCATAATTGATGATTTTATTTGTAATTAACAAAACATGAGGATTTTTTTGTAATTTAACCTTACCTCAAGGGTAACCTGATTTACCCTACTTTTTTTTAGGCACGCCCATAAGCAATGACGTGGCACATTGCTGATGGTCCTTTGTTCTTGAAAACATAGCAGAACACATGATAGAAATGTAGGGGAAACAAATCAAGAAAGACACTTAATTAGCTTCTTTAGATGTGCAGGAAACATACTTCTATTTCAGCTAGAAGATGAAAATGAATTCATGACTATTTAATTACATAAGAGAATGATGGAGCAGACACACTCGTTGAATGTTTCAAATCTATCCGATACGATCTCTTGTTTATCGTAAAAAAAAAATCCTAAAAAACCAAACTCATTTTCCGAAACATGTTTTTCTCCATAAAGATGAAGACTGTTAAAATGTTTGCCAGCAAAACGAGTTATTCTGCTTCTTGATCAGCATACTTAAGCTCTCCGAGACAATCCGGAAACTTCACTGGAATTTTCAGCGGTGTAGCAATTTCTACACCTTGCATGGCTTTCGCCAAACAATAGCCTAACGGTATCGAAACTGCGAATGACACAGCATTTCCGACTTGCATATACCTAAAAACAAACATAGTACACGAAATGAATAATTTTAAAATGACTTCACACATACAATTGTGGAAAAGAAATATTGAAGTAATTAAAGCACTGAAGTCCGAATACCTCTCTTTGATTGGTCCGTGAAGCTTATAGCAATCCGGAAAACCTTGTAACCGCGCATTTTCACGGACTGAGAGCACTCTATCTTGACTAGGATGCAGGAGAATCTATTGAGCATAGAATATAAACGTTAATGCATAAAAAAAGACGCATTGCTTTTTATTGATTAAAAAAAACGAACAGTTTTTCGAACCTGATTATGGGGTTCAGCCCTTGTAACTACAGTGGAAACAATTTCATCATACCACAATCTACCGAAAGGCCTGCGCAGTTACTTCCAAGGTAAGAAATTCGAAACGTGAAATAATTAGATTGGAAATTTTGAAACATTTAAAAAATAACATATTTACTTCGAAGACTTCCCAGATTCGAATTTTATTGCATAATTAGGTACCTGCTCATATGCAAAAAACATGAGTAAATTTCAAAATAATGTCTAAAATGATACAAAAGAATATATATATATATATATATATATATATATATATATATATATATACACACACACATACCAAAGGTTTCCCAGATTTGCATAAGGGTATTTCCACCGATGGATCCTGTCTTACAATCTTGTTTGGCTCGATAATTAAACCGGGCAAATTTCGAAAATTAGCTCCCTGTTGAAAGGCAGCCATCAAAACAACGAATTAGATCGAGAAGAAAGTTTTGAGGTAGATAAATCAAATTATTTTACCCAGTCTTTAAAGAATGTATTTCAACCTTCTGTTTTGGAACGTGGCAGACTCTTTCATAATCATCTTCATTTAACTTTAGAGGTCGATGATCATACAATACGGACTTACTTGAATCATTCTTTTTCTTATCTGTATAGCCAAAAAGCTCTGAAAAAAAAAACAGTAACAACATTTACAATGTATTCAATCATGTGAAAAAAATTACGTCACAATGAATAAGGCTTATCAGAAAGCTGCCACTGCTAATTATTCGTTGCACATTTTTTTATAATCAGTTGACTCAAATAAAAATACCGAGACTCACCTTTCCTTTTCAACCTAATGAATTTCTGAAATGCAGTTTGGGGAGCTCTGCCGTAAGGCATTTCATCCAAATCGGCAAAATTTGTCACCTGAAGAGATATAAGAATCGTGGTTAGTGCAAGTAATCCTCATTAAGAGCTACTAAAATTTAATTAAGACCACCAACCTCTGGTAATTCTGATATCACTTCACCGAGCAAAACAGGTTTATGGAGTTCAGGGTGCTCATTTCCATGTCCAATAATAAGTTCCTAAATTCGGAGTTGAAAATATGTTTAGAAGTATAATTAATTGAGTGAAGTGAATTCAATGTAAATTCAAACCTTAAACTCATTTGTAACAACTCCTTTCTTTAGAGACTCGTGTGTAGGTAGTGGAAACTGAGGTAAAATCTGAAACATCAAACAGGTTATTACAAACACATTCAAAAAATTATAAGCAAACTAAATCAGGAGTTTATTATAATTATTACACACATACCTCTGTCGGTGCAGCACCCCAAAGGAGAAAACGCATTCGACACTGTGGGACCCCATATGCACCGGCAGCCATGATACCTAGTCGTGTCTGGTAATTCATCGAGACAAGCCGAGCAACTGCATAGGAAGCCAAGATTCCATTCTTGAACTTCAAGATATCTGTGACATTTTCCATGAGCACGTATCTAGGTTTAAGAAACTCAACAATGTCCATGTATACAACAAGCTGGCGATTTTTCTTGTCGTTCAAGGGCTCGGGACATCTGAACCGGTTGAAGCCACTGATGCCCTGACATGGCGGACCACCGCATAAGAAGTCAACATCACCCTGTGCCCAAAAAAAAATCAAAATCCAGATAGATAGTTTTGTTGTTTTTTTTTTTTTTGCAAGAGGAATCAGAAACATTTCAACGGATGCAAAATCATAAACACTACGAAACCTAAATCCAGAAAACTTACTGGAAGGGGTAATAATTTTGCTCTATGACCTCTTGTGACGAACTCCTTTATTTTTTCATTGCATTTACTAAACAAGACGAAGTAATTAGAAAAATGAAAATGATACCTAAACAAAAAGGATAATTGATCAAATAATAAGAACATACCTCAGGCCATCGGCTGGTTCCCACGTATCATCTGCACGACCATAGCCTTTCCACCTTACCTACAAAATTAAAAATAAATTGTAAAAAATGGAGTTAAATAGCAATTTCCCTTTTATTTTCTGAATCTCGGAAATACTTTGGCCGGCAGAAACCATCATCTAATGTGTAAAATATCCAAACAGATGCATTTGTTACTTAGCTAGCAACTTTTGTACTTAAATCCATAAACTTAGTTTTACACAGAAAGCAAGATAAAGCAATGTCAAGATAGCAATTAAGTACCTTAAAATGCAGGCTAGATTTTTTGAGTTTATTTGGATTTCCGTAACAGATACCGACAAATTTCTCCACCTCAAATTCTTCAGATGGAACCGCCGCAGAGTCATCAATGTCAGAACCATCACTGTCTATATCTTCTTCATCTGATCCTACTTCTTTGGATCCCACCAAATTGAATTCTTTACAGAGCTTTTCCCATTCTTTTAAAAGAACAAAAAAATCCTCAGCATCTTCATTCCTAACCTGAAAGTTACATGCAACTGTTATTGACATTGCCATAATATAAAAAATGCATAACACTTAACTAAAGATGTAAGCAACTACCTCTGTGTTGGGATGGTTAAATTTCAGACTTTCGCATGCATCGGAGTTGTAATCGAGAGCCCATTTCTGTTTACCAAGAAAAAGAAAAGGATTTATTAGGTCAAGTGTGTACTGTGTAGGACATTAAAAAGTGAAAAACTGCGTTAATTTTTATCAAATGTACTTACTGTGACAATGTTTTGTCCAGCCAAAGATGCACCGATACTAAGTCCAGAAGACATAGCACCACAACCAGAATACAAGTCCAGCATGGTTCCTTTTGAACGCTGTAAATCTTGTGGAGGCCTTTCAACATCAGAAACTGAGTTTTCCTTATCTGCATAATTGTATGTAGACAAATTAGTCACAACAAAACGAAACCAAAAATAATCATATTCGTCAATTATCAGCAGCAGGGTAAAATAATATTTAGTACAAGCTCACCTCCATTTAAACTAATGAAAGCATGCGGAAAGGAATACTTCATATCAACATATAGATCCCCAGAGCCTATGAACTTCTCTTTTTCAGCAATGTCCATCTGTTCAATGTATGATCAAACATTGAATAATAGTGTCTAAAGAAACAAAGTCGGGTCAAGTTTTGTACTTACATCGAGTGGAAGCACATTAATTTTGACTTTCGAACTGATGCAACTTAAATGATTATCGTCTCTGATGTCCGAATAGAACACACGCCGTGCATCAATAAGAGGATATTGTTCTTTTATAACCTGAAATTATCGAAATGAATTGGTAAAAATGGCATACAGTAAAACTTGAAATCAATCTGTTTTAAATATTGTCTCACCGTATTGTTGGCACGATAAAACCATTGAGTGCAAATAAAGCTCTCTCGAGTCACAGTCTCGAACATCTCCACGATTTTGGCGATATAATTTGGTTCGTTATCCGGAGCCTGGAATTATACGATCAGAAGATAATTATTAGTTTTCCACCAAACAATGGGATGTGAGTAACAAAGGATAATAAATCTAAGTTCAATGGTGTTTATGCTTTCAGCAAAAAATTAACAGCTAAGAAATTACGATAGGCAAAATATATAACCTCAATGTACGCATCTTCCAAAAGATCGTACTCTACCCCATCTACAACTGCATTGGTGTAATGGAATCTGGCTTGGCCAAACTCCTTCTCCCTAAAATCAGAATTAAAATCAGAATTAAACAATTAAAAACATTAAAAAACAGAAAATAAAATTCATAATATTTGAATAAAATTATGCTTACTCGGTGGACCCATCTGATAGAGTCACCATTACGGTGGCCGTCTTATCCTGTAGAAACATAAATCAGACGGCATTTGCTCGTATAATTCCCAAAAAAAAAAACCTAAATTTTAGCTGAGAAATAAAAGTTGGGTCGTTTTTACCTTAGACACGTATCTATGGGGCCATCTTCGCTTGGCTTCTTCGGATGGGATTGGTTCGCCGGCGAAGCTGATCTCATCTTCCGGCGCCGCTGCTTTCTTCAGCTTCTTGTTTGACGAAGACGAGGGTTTACATGGCTCGGAAACTAACTCCGCACGCTTTTCACCTCTCCCGGCGCTACCCATTCTCCCCTTCCTAAATGTGCACAGTGGGTGAACTGTGTGTGTGAGAGAGAAAGAAAGAGAGAGATTCTGGTAGAGAGAAGGTCGGAGAGAGACGTTGGATGAAGATTGAAAATCTGTAGAGAGAGACTGAAATAGACGAAATTTTGAAATGCGCTAATTTTTAGGGCAGGCGGGAAAAGATTTTGGGGGAAAATATCTATTTTTATTAACAATTTTATTGATTTGCAGTTTTAGCCTTAGGCTTTAACAGATTTTTGTTTGCAACGGAAAGTATAATTAATAAGAAAATTTACATTTGTCACCCCTCAAGTTTGCATATATTACATATTTGATTCCTCATGTTTAAAAAAAACACATTTGGTCACTCATTTCAATAATTTAACAATTTTGCTCTCTTTGTCAATTTACCATTAGTCCTTCAGTTAAGGCAGTGGTGGACACATGCTTCATTGATTCTGTTAGTTTTAACAAAAACTTGATGGAAGATATTAAAAATGTTGGGCAATGTTTGGAACCATTTCTATTTTGTTTTCATTGCTTCCCCAAAACAAAATGGGATTTATTACACTTTTCAAATCATTTTCTCAAAACAATTTCAAAAGTTTATCTCTCCTTCAGACATGATGTGACTGCTACAGTAAAATGATTTGGCTGCTACAGTAAAAAAATGTATTCACTAAAAAACAAATAAACATCACTTCATCTTTCAATTTTTTTCTTCAAAAATACTTTTTTCTAACACATTTAAACATGATTTGACTGCTACAGTGTATTTTGTCTCTTTCCAAAATACAAACAAACATTACTTTCATTCTCAAATTATTCCCCCAAAATATATTTCCTCAAAATGAAATCAAAATAAGATCCAAAACGCTTCCAAACATTGCCTTGATTTTTTTCAAACATGAGGGACCGAATGGGTATTTTATGAATATCGGGGATCAAATGTGAAATAATGCAAACTTGAGGGATGAATCAATATTTGAAATATTATATGAGTAATTAGTGCAATTTTAGAAAGAAAAAGAATCAACACACCATTAAAATTCTAAGATGATAGATAGTATGGAAAGAAAAATTAATCTATAAACCGAAAGTTAATTCAAAACAAATGGAGTAATCATTTGATTTGTTCGCTAGAATGTGCTTAGTGAATCTAATTTTCTCATTTTATTTAATTCTTGAATATAAATAAATTAATCCAAGCTTAGCTGTTTACGTTCGAAGAGCCTCTTTTGTCGATAATTCATAATTAAACAATATAAAGTTAATCAAAGAGGAAATCAAGATTGGATTTGAAGTAAATAAGAAAAATCTTCGAGTTAATCCAAAATAGATTTCATTTATTTGAATTTATTCCCACCATCCTGAATTTCTAACTCTTCCATTGACACTTAGCAATCTTTGAATAAATTAAATTCATAACCAATATAATCAGTATTTAATAATTCTAAGCTTATCAATAATTAAAGATTAAAATTATGGCTACTAAACGCACAACGTGTCAGTCAAAATATGATGATTAAATTAAACAACGCGTACAAAGTGATTAACACCCTTGTCCCTCCTCCAATCGCGTGATTAGAAATCTTTTTAAATTTTATATTTTCCTTTTTTTTTTTTAAGTTTATTTTAATCAATTAATCATGGTCCAGACAAAGAAAAATAATTTAAAATATTTGGCAAATCTACTGTCTTCCCATAAATGGAAACATAATTAGGTATCAACTTCAGTCCATTCTAAGATTGCCCCTTTAGTTTATTTTTTATTCATATATATATATATATATATATATATATATCGATGTGGTACGATTCCACGTCACGTTTTACAATTCCTCCGTAGCACTTCTTGATTTTTCGTGTGGGCACTACCTGCATAAAAAAAAAAAAGTCGTTAGGCCACCGGGATTGGTATCGGCGAAAACTCTCCAACGCTCAAATCAGCTTTGTATGATAGAAGAGTTCAAATAATTTAAGAGATTTCTCGGGAGTTATGAATTTCGCACCTTTGATTTTAGGGTGCATTTGGATGGAGGGATTTGGGGGAGGGATTTCAAATCCATAATGACAAATCCCTCGGACTTGTTTGGATTGAGGGATTTGGAGATGGATTTCAAATCCCCACCCCTCATTTTTAGTTGATTTTGGAGCAATAGTGATGGATTTCAAATGACTCCAAAATTTGAGTCATTTCAAATCCATTCCCCAAATCAAATCCCTCCCCAAATCCCTCCATCCAAATGGACCCTTAAGGTTTTCGTGTATTTATATGAAGACATATAATTTCATGGGCCTAAGCCACTTACTTGGGCCGACTTAAGTCTAACTGTTTAAATCATGTCGCTTTGGGCCTTAGCCAACTTAAGCTTATAATTTTATCTTTAGTTGATTTGGACTTGATCGTGTCTCTATGGGCTTGTCGATACCGGCATATATATATATATATATATATATATATATGTATT